TTAATTTTTCGTTTTGCAATTCTTCAATTCTTCAATTTTTTAATTTTTTGTTCCTTCAATTCTACGACATGCAACTTTTCGAATTTTCATTTTCAAATGCTTCAAACTTTCGATTTCATCTTTTGGTTGTTTCGATTTTTAGATTTTGCAATTTTTTGATTTGCACTTTCACGAGTTTTCAATTTTCCAGTTTTTCATTTCTTCAATTTTTGGATTTGAAACTTTTCGTTTAGGTTTTTTATTTTCTTTAATTTTTCAATTTTTCGAGTTTTCAATGTGAAATTTTTAGATTTTGAAGTTTCAGATTTTTTGAAAAATTTCAGAAACGAAAAATTGAATAACCGAAAAATTGGAAAACTGAAGGATCGAAAAAAATCCTGGAAAAAGCAAAATATTCTAAAAACGAAATATTGAAACTGCAAAATTTAAAATTTTAAAAATTATATATACGAAAAACTAAAAAAATCGAAGGAAACATTGAAATACGTAATATGAGAAAGAAAATAATGAGAAATTGTAATATAAAATCGCTAAAATGAAAAATAAAAATCAAGAAAATTGAAAAATCGGAGAATGAAAAGTTGTAATATCGAAAAAAGCAAAATTGAAAAATTGAATAATTATGAAACCAACACACTGAAAAATGGAAAAATTGAAAAAATAAAAAAATGAAAAAATTAAAAATTGTGATAAAGAAAATTAGTCGAGCGTAAATAAATCCAGATTTTCTGATTTTGCGATTTATTTTCTTATATTATAGTCACAATCTTTTTTCAATTTTTCCGTTTTAAATTTTTCAGTTTCTCGATATTTAATTTTTCAATTTTGCGATCGTTCAGTGTTAGTTTTTCGAATTTTGACAATTCTATAATTTTTCGATTTTACAATTTTTATGTTTTCCAATCTTTCGTTTTTCAATGTTTTCGGTATTGCAATTTTTGGTTTTTCCAATTTTTCGATTTTCAAATTTTTCCAATTTTTTTAATTTTTCGATTTGTCTACTTTTCGCATCAAAAAATGGATAAATTGCGAAGTTGTAAAATTGAAAAATTAAAAATGAAAAAAATATATAAAACGAAAATTTTGAAAAATCTAAAAATCGGAAATCAAGAACTTAAAGAATTGAACAAACGAAAAATTGAATAACCGAAAACCTCAAATTTAGGAAACTTAAAAATCGAAAAAGTATAAAATCCAAAAAGCAAAATATTGTAAAATCTAAATATTGAAAATTTAAGAAATCGGAAAATTGCATAATTGATAAATCCAAAAACTGCAAAATTGAAAATTTTAAGAATTATATATACGAAAAATGATAAAACCGAAAGAAACATTGAAATAATATAAGAAATAAATTGTTACATAAAATCGGGAAAATGAAAAATAAAAATCAAGAACTTGAAAAATTGGGAAAACGAAAAATTGAAAATTCGAAGAATGAAAAATTGTAAAATCAAAAATTGAAAAATTTCGAAGTCGAGAAATTGAAAATTTGAAAAAAATTTAAATTGAAAAAATAAAAAAAAAGATGAAAAAACGAAAAATTGTAATGAAATAAATTGGTCGAACGTAAATAAATCCAGATTTTTTGATTTTGTGGATTTTTTCTTATAAGTTAAAAATCAATGAGTGCATGTGTAAATCGCAATTATCGTCATAATTTTTTATTTATTCGATTTTTTAATTTTTTGGTTTTTAATTTTTCAATTTCTCGACCTTTCAGTGTTACAGTTTTTTGAATTTTTGAGTTTTTCAATTTTCCGGTTTTCAACGTTTCCGGGATTGCAATTTGTGATTTTTCCAATTTTTCGATTTTTAAAATTTTTTCGATTCCTTAATTTTCCGATTTGTCAACTTTTCGCATTAAAAAAATGGGTAAACTGCGAAGTTGTAAAATTGAAAAATCAAAAATGAAAAAACGAACAAAATAAAGTGAAGATTTTGAAAAACCTAAAAGTTGGAAATCAAGTACTTGAAAAATTAAACAAACGATAAATTAAATAACCGAAATACTCAAAATTGGGAAATTTTAAAATCAAAAAAGTGCAAAATCGTAAAAGCAAAATATTGTAAAATCCAAATATTGAAAATTAAGGAAATCTTAATATTGGAAAGTCAAGAAATTGAAAATTTGAAAAAATTATTATATATGAAACCGATATATTGAAAAATGCAAAAATTGAAAAAAATTAAAAAATGACAAAACGAAAAATTGTAATAAAATAAGTTGGCCGAACGTAAATAAATCCGGATTTTTTGATTTCACGAATTTTTTTCTTAAAAGTTAAAAAATCTATGAGTGCATTGGTAAACCACAATTTTTCGGTTTATAATTTTTCGATTTTCAACGTTTTCATATTGCAATTTTTTGTTTTTTCGATTTTTAAAAATTTTCAGATTTTTAATTTTTCGATTTGTCAACTTTTCGTATCAAAAAAATTGCAAACTGAGAAAACGACAAAGAAGTTGAAAAATTGCAAAAACGAAAAATTCAATAACCGAAAGATTCAAAATTGGAAAACTTGAAAATCGAAAAAGTGCAAAATAGAGAAAGCAAAATATTGTAAGTAAAATTGAAATACTCAAAGTTAAAGGAATCAGAAAATCGGATAATTGGTAAATCCAAAAACTGCAACATTGAAAATTTTAAAAATAAAAGAAATAAAAAACCGAGAATTGTAATATACAAAATCAGCAAAATGAAAAATAAAAATCAAGAACTTGAAAAATTGAGGAAACGAAAAATTGAAAAATCGAAGAATGAAAAGTTTTAATATCGAAAAAAGCAAAATTGAAAAATTGAATAATTATGAAACCAACACTGAAGAATGGAAAAATTGAAAAAATAAAAAAATGAAAAAACGAAAAATTGTGATAAAGAAAATTAGTCGAACGTAAATAAATCCAGATTTTCTGATTTTGCGATTTATTTTCTTATATTATAGTCACAATTTTTCAGTTTCTTCTTTTTAAATTTTTCAGTTTCTCGATATTTAATTTTTCAATTTTGCGATCGTTCACTGTTAGTGTTTCGAATTTTGACAATTCTATAATTTTTCAATTTTACAATTTTTATGTTTTCCAATCTTTCGTTTTTCAATGTTTTCGGTATTGCAATTTTTGATTTTATCAATTTTTCCGATTTTTTAAATTTACGATTTGTCAACTTTTCGCATCAAAAAAATGGATAAATTGCGAATTTGTAAAATTGAAAAATTAAAAATGAAAAAAAAATATAAAACGAAAATTTTGAAAAATCTAAAAATTGGAAATCAAGAACTTGAAAAATTGAATAACCGAAAGACTCAAAATTGGGAAATCTAAAAATCAAAAAAATGTAAAATCGAAAGAGCAAAATATTGTAAAATCGAAATATTGAAAACAAAAGAAATCGGAGAATTGCATAATTGATAAATCCAAAAACTGCGAAATTGAAAATTTTAAGAATTATATATACGAAAAATGATAAAACCGAAAGAAACATTGAAATAATATAAGAAATAAATTGTTACATAAAATCGGGAAAATGAAAACTATAAAATCAAAAATGAAAAATAAAAATCAAGAACTTGAAAAATTGGGAAAACGAAAAATTGAAATCGAAGAATGGAAAATTGTAAAATCAAAAATTGAAAAATTTGGAAGTCGAGAAATGGAAAATTTGAAAAAAAATTAAATTGAAAATACATATAAAAAAAAGATGAAAAAACGAAAAATTGTAATAAAATAAATTGGTCGAACGTAAATAAATCCAGATTTTTTGATTTTGCGGATTTTTTTCTTATAAGTTAAAAATCTATGAGTGCATGTGTAAATCGCAATTATCGTCATAATTTTTTATTTATTCGATTTTTCAATTTTGTGGTTTTTAATTTTTCAATTTCTCGACCCTTCAGTGTTACAGTTTTTTGAATTTTTATATGTTCCAATTTTCCGTTTTTTCAGTTTTTCGGTTTGCAATTTTTCGATTTTCAACGTTTTCGGTATTGCAATTTTTGATTTTTTCAAATTCTCGATTTTTCAAATTTTTTAGATTCCTTAATTTTTCGATTTGTCAACTTTTCCCCTTTAAAAAATGGGTAAACTGCGAAGTTGTGAAATTGATAAATCAAAAATGAAAAAACGAACAAAATAAAATGAAAATTTTGAAAAATCTAAAAGTTAGAAATCAAGTACTTGAAAAATTAAACAAACGATAAATTAAATAACCGAAATACTCAAAATTGGGAAATTTTAAAATCAAAAAAGTGCAAAATCGAAAACGCAAAATATTGTAAAATCCAAATATTGAAAATATAGGAAATCTTAATATTGGAAAGTCAAGAAATTGAAAATTTGAAGAAATGAATATATATATATGAAACCGATATATTGAGAAATGGAAAAATTGAAAAAATTTAAAAAATGACAAGAAGAAAAATTGTAATAAAATAAGTTTCGCTGAACGTAAATAAATCCAGATTTTTTGATTTCACCAATTTTTTTCTTAAAAGTTAAAAAATCTATGAGTGCATTGGTAAACCACAGCAATTTTTCGGTTTATAATTTTTCCATTTTAAACGTTTTCATATTGCAATTTTTGGTTTTTTCAAGTTTTCGATTTTTCAAAATTTTCAGATTTTTTAATTTTTCGATTTGTCAACTTTTCGCATCAAAAAAGTGGATAAATTGAAAAGTTGTAAAATTAAAAACTGAAAAAACGAAAAAGAAGTTGAAAAATTGCGGAAACGAAAAATTCAATAACCGAAAGACTCAAAATTGGGAAACTTAAAAATCGAAAAAGTGCAAAATGGAGAAAGCAACATATTGTAAAATCGAAGTGTTGGAAATTAAAGAAATCAGAAAATCGGATAATCGTTGAATCCAAAAGCTACAAAACTAAAAATTAAAAAAAAAGGAAATAAAGAAGCGAGAAATTGTAATATACAAAATCAGCAAAATAAAAAATAAAAATCAAGAACTTGAAAAATTGAGGAAACGAAAAATTGAAAAAACGAACAATGAAAGAGTATCGAAAGAAGATAACAGCTAAGCCACGTCAGACCAAAGTAGGTCAGGTCAGCTCAAATCAGGTCAGATCAGATCAAGCCACGCCAGACCAGGTCAGACCAAGTCATCTCAAGTCAAGTCAAACTAAGTCAAGTCACCTCAAGTCACATGTGAAGATCGACGACGAGGAAGTACCTTAATAGACATTTTGGCATTTAATAAATAATTATTCTAATCTAAGACCATGACAAATTGATTATAAAAATCGCAAATATGAGCTTGATTTTGGAAAATGTAAAACTGATACATAAATTTTAGATAAATCAAAGTTATTATCTAAAACTCAAACCGTTATCGTCAATTAAATTTTACGAGGTAGTGGAGGTCACCATCGGCATCATTTAACGGAACCTCTTCAACCCACTTATGTTTTTTATTATTTTTTTAAATCAAACGCGTGCCTTCAGTTTTATTACAACCGAAGGAAACCACAAATCAAATAGAAATATTACATCGATATATCAACTTTTTAATTGACCGTAAACGTACAGTGTGGAGACAATTACGTGCATGCTACTGTTTTTTCATTATTGGTACGAACACACCAGTTGGAACATCATTACAGTAGTCCTATTTTATAACTCGTTATAATATTTCAAAACCCTTTGAAACGTCCAATTGAGTTATTACTGTTGAAGATGGAAGCAAGCAATCAAGATCGTGCGAAGATCGACGACGAGGAGGTAAACCATGGTCAAAAATTTCGCAATGGTCTGAATTTTTGTTGTAGATATTATTACGACCCATCGTACACGTCACACTACCTGGGTTGGAGTACCGCAACCTCATGAGACGACTTTATCGTTCTTATAACTTTTGGGTCAGGTGTCCCAAAGACCGACAAAGAATTTTTGGAGATATTGGAAACACGTTCCACAACATTAGTATCGTGTAAGAGAAAATTTACATTCGAGAGTTCCTTTCTTGACTTTTTTGGGTACCCAGGTTGGATGATATTGAAGATGGGACAGTCCTTCGTAGAGGAATCCCAGCTGCCCATATGGTATATGGTGTCGCTTTGAGTGTGCAGGCTACAATATATAACGCATTTCTGTTGTTTCAAAGCTTGCTACAACACTTAAAAGACAATGAGGATGTCGTCACTGACGATTTTGTTAAAGTTGGTATTGAGTTCTTCACTGGACAAGGGATGGAAATATACTCCAGAGACGTCGAACAATGTCCTACTTTTGAAGACTACGGTGTGGTGGTTTATGGAAGTAAATTCAACATTTTTGGTAATCAAACATCCTTAAATTACTCTTTTTTGGGGTTTAGAATCCGCCAGTCCGTTATTTTGGGGAATCCAGTTGTTGCAGCTGTTTGCCAAGAACGCAAAAATTGACTTTATTTTTGAAATTTTTGACAAAATGGGTCACTTTCTTCAGATATATGACGACTACATTAATTTACACAATCCTAAGGTAAAATAAACATTTTCAAACAAATCGTTTCAAGTGGTTTTCCAGTACGCAACCGTCCGAGTCTTCGCTGATGACCTGGATGAGGGGAAATTTAGCTACCCCATAATTCATGCCGTCCGAAGTCACCCGGATGATAAGCGCCTTCTGAGTATTCTTATCACACTTGATAAGTAACTCGATTTTTTATAGTTTTGTTTCAGACATGTTAAAACAGAGACCTCTGGATATCGAAAGTAAGAAAGTGTTTGTAGAGATAATGGAAGGTTTTGGAAGTTTCGAATTCACTCGAAATGTGTTGGAAAATTTAAGGAAAGGAATTCTCGCCGATGTGGAGAAAATGAAACTGGAGAAAAATCCATATCTGGAAAAAATTCTTGAAGATATATTCAGTCGTTTAGAAACGGAAATATATTTCGACGGTTGTGACTAAATTTAGGCACTTTTTACTAAAATTGTGGGATTTGGGAAAGTGATTAGTGATTAGTGATCCATGTACGGGTATTTCAATACTTAGCTCGGTAGTTGTTTTTGTAATTAATTTTATCTGGTATTATTAATTTTATGTGTGTTAGGAATATCGCGTAACTAAAATACTTATAGATTTTAGAATTACTTATAGAGGGTGACCCTAAAAAATTAAAAAATGAGGCAATTTATTATATTGATTAAAATCAAGAATAACTCACTCCATTTTTCCGAAACTTTTTGAATACGGTGTATTAGTATTACACTATTATTTACAGTCAACCAATTTTTTCATTTTTTTATTTTTTCAATTTTTCCATTTTTCAATGTTTGGGTTTCATAATTATCTATTCATTTTTTCAACTTAAATTTTTCAAATTTTCAATTTCTCAACTTCCAAATTTTTCGATATTACAATTTTTCATTTTTCATCTCTCCAGTTTTTCAAGTCTTCAATGTTTCTTTCCATTATAATTTTTCATATAATATATAGTTTTTAAAATTTTCAATTCTGCATTTTGAGTTTTTTGGTTGTTCAGTTTTTCGTTTCTTCAATTTTTCAAGTTCTTGGGTTGTTCCAATTTTTAGTTTTTTCAAAATTTTCATTTTACTTTTTCGTTTTCAATTTTACAACTTTGCGATTTTTCCATTTTTTGTTGGGAAAAGTTGACAAATCAAAAAATTGCGAACCCAAGAATTGAAGAAACGAACAATTGGAAAAAAAAAACGCATCGGATCGAAAATTTAGAAAATCCAAAAATTGTAAAATCGAAAAATATAGATAGTATCAAAATTGTAAAGTTGAAAAATTTTAACACTGAAAAATCGAAAAATTAAAAATCGAATAAATGAAAATAAAAGTTTAAAATCAAATAATTTAAAAAATGCAAAAATTTTAGAATCGTAAAATTAAGAAGATGAAAATAAAAAAAAATAAACATGAATTATTACATATTTAAAACGAAAACTAGAAAAATTGCAAAATCGAGAAACTGAAAAATCAAAACATTGAAAATCAAAAAAATTGAGAAATTAAAGAGAATAAAAAATCGAAACGAAAAATTGCAAACCGAAGAAATGAAAAAATAAAAAACTGAAAAATCGAAATATTGAGAACTTAAAACTGTAAAACTGCAAATCCAAAATTGTAAAATCGAAAAATTGGAGCAACCAAAAGTTGGCAAATCGAAAATCTGAAAATTTTAAATATTTAAATTAATAAAAAAAAGAATAAATTGAAAAATTGTAGAACGAAAAAGTTGAAATTCAAAAAACAAACAATTATAAAATCGAATATTGAAAAATCTAAAATTATAAAAATTAAAAAAATAGAACACCGAAACCAAAAATTGCAAATAATCGAAAATTAAAATACATGAAAAATGGAGGAATCCCAAAATTAGAGGATTAAAAATCTAAAAATTGAAAAGTTGAAAAGGAAATGAAAAAGTTTTAAAATCCAATAATTGAAAAAATTCTAAAATAATAACATTGCATAAGCGAAAATTTCTAAAAAATTTTTAAATATTTAAAAATAATTAGAAATATTACAAATAAAAAATTAACGAAAAATTAAAACATCTAAAATTTGAATGAAATTAAAAGAAAATCAAAAAACAAACAAAAAGTCGAAAGAAAAAATTGCAAAATTGAAAAAGTAGAAAATCGGAAAATTTCAAAACTAAGAACTGAAAAAAAATAAAAACTGAAGATTGAAAAACCGAAAAATTAAAAAAAAAAAAAATAAAAAACCGAAAAATTTAAAAAACGAGAAATGACGAAATGAGGAATTCGAAAAAGTAGAAAATCGAAATACATATTTCAAAACGAAGAACTGCAGAAATGAAAAATTGAAACACTGAAAAACTAAAAATTTAGAATCGAACAAAAAAATGAATTGAAAAATTGGAGAACCCAAAAATTGTAAAAACAAAAAACCGTAAAAATAATGAAAATGAAAGTCGAAAATTTGAAAAAATGAAAAACTGAAGAATCTAAAAATTTAAAAATTAAAAATCTAAAAATTTAAAAGTTGAATATTTAAAATGAAAACTAGAAAATTTTAAATCAAAATTTAACAAGAAATTAAAAAAGAAAAATTGAAAGATTTCACAATGAAAAAATCAAATCTGAACATGGAAAAAGCGAAAAATTAAAAAAAATCAGGAAGAAAACAAAAAACTGAAACGAAAAATTTCAAAACGAAGAACTGAAGAAAGCAAAAATTGAAACATTGGAAAACTAAAAATCGAAAAACTTAAAAAACGAAAAAAATTAATGTATCGAAAAATTGAAAAACCGAAACATTGTAAAGTTGAAAAACTGTTATCATTGAAAAATCGATTAAATGAAAAATGGAAAAATTTTAAAATCGTAAAATTGAAAAGATGAAAATGTTGAAAATTAAACATTAACTATTACATATTTAAATTGAAAACTAGAAAAATTGAAAATCAAAACTTACAGGAACGAAAAATCGAGAAACTGAAAAATCTAAATTTGAATATTAAAAAGCTTAAAATTGTCAAATCGAAAAGTTGAAAACCGAAAAACTGCATATCGAAAAATTGAAAAATTTTATGTTGAAAAGAAGAAAAATTATAAATTAAAACACTGAATATCTGAAAAATCGAAATATTAAAAAAAATAAAAAACAAGACCAAAAATTGCAAACAGAAGAATTAAAGAAATGGAAAATTGAAAAATCGAAAAATTGCAAAATCAACCAAGAGTTGGAAAATCGAAAATATGAAAAAATTAGAAATAAAAATTCAAATAGTTTGCAATATCGGGAAATTGAAGAAACAAAAAAAAAAACAAAAAAATTGAAATTAAAAATACAAAAAATTATAAAACTGGAACAGTGAAAAATCGAAAAATTGTAAAAATAAAGAAAATCCAAAATCGAAACCAAAAATTGCAAATCGAAAAGTTGAATAAATGGAAAACTTTTTTTTAAATCGAATAATTGAAAAAATTCTAAAACCGAAAATAGAAAAAATGAAAAGTTTTAAAAATTATTGTTATTGCATATTTAAAACACAAACTAGGAAAATTGCATTTCAAAAAATGAAAAAACGGAAAATTAAAAAGTCTAAAAGTTGAAAAATCTGGACATAGAAAAAGTGAAAAATGCCAAAAAATTAAGAAAACAAAGTGCAGACACGAAAAATTGAAGACATGAAAAATTTAAAAACCGAAAAAGTAGAAAATCGAAAAATTTCAAAACGAAGAACTGAAGAAACAAAAAACTGAGACATTGAAAACTAAAAATCCAGAAACAAAAAAGTACTGAATCGAAAAATTGAAAAACGTAAAAATTGTAAATTCGAAAAATTATAACATGGAAAAGTCGAAAAATTGAAAAATGAAATGTCGAGAAATTCAAAAATAAAATATCGAAAAATTGAGTAATGGAATAACTGAAAAAGTTTTAAAAATCCAACAATTGATAAATGGAAAGATTCTAAAATCGTAAAATCGAAAAACTTCAAATTCCAAGACATCCTAAAATTGAAGAAACAAAAACAATGAAAAATTGAAAAATAAATAAATAAAAAATTAAAAAAATTGAAATTGACAAAACGAAACGTTATAAAATCGGAATATCGAAAAATTGAAAAATTATTACAGAGATTACCAGAAAACAAAAAACGCAAAAAAAAATTATAATTTTTCAATTGAGGGGGATCTGTTGGGCTATACTTTAGAGCCGAGGGAAATTCTTTGAAATAAGCTTCGACCATTTTTTTAAATTATAGTGGACAACCCCTAGAATAAAAAAAAAAATAAACAAAAATCAAATCAAACACGCCTGACTCATGTATTGTTTACTATTTGTACAAACGCTGACTTTGTTTTGCCACACGATCCGGTCAAAACCCTCGTCCACTCATAACCTCCACCAACCTTCACCTTCATACAATTCCACAAGAAATCACGAACATCGAACAAACAAACACCAAATCCCTTATAAATACCCTCTCAAACTCCAACAAGGCATCATTTCCAATCCACATCTTCCAAAATGAAACACTACCAACTATTACTAATCACCGTTTTAGCCATCATCAGCGAAATTAAAGCAGACTGTGGTTGCCTAAAAGTAAGTCCCACAAGACTGACATTGGATAAATTAACCCCCAAACTAAAATTTCAGTGCAGCAAAGACCTCCAAATCGTGTCACCCCCGTACCTCCCTTATAAAGTAATAGTAAAGGGTAGTCCGTGCTCGGACCAACAACCCTTCCCCTATCAACAGATTCAACAAATCCAACAAATCGCGCCTTCGTACATCCCCATCCCCGCCCAGTCGCAATACCAGGTAAGCCCCACCCAACTCACACCCAAAACACAAAATACACCCAATCAAATTTCAGCTCGGATCTTATAGCTCCGCCTGCCAGCCCATCTTCGCCTACAAGTACAAAGTACAAGCACCACTCGTTCTCCCCCCTCCACCTCCACCACCACTCACCGGCCTGGTGGCCCGCCCTGACCGCGTCGTCATCCAGAGACCGAGTAAGACCACGCCCTCTAACCCTGACACGTCTAACCAATCCCCTTTCAGACTGCCCTGTCTACACTGGTGAGGACGGTGACTGCGGCAACTTGTTGCGACCACCCTGTAGATCCATTTTCGAGGACGGCTACTACGGAGGGTCTGCGCCCCTGCAGCAAGTGCAAATTCTGGGTACCGCTAATCGTGGACCACTTTTACAACCCGTGACCGATGACGTCTTCCAGAAGATTTCTTGTGACTGCAGGTATGGACACAGTCGGAAAAAACGCGATTTGCCCATTTTGCGAAAGTCGGTTCGGTTTGTGGTGGGTTTGTTGCCGTTGTTTTTGCGGTTTCCGTTGGAGGAGATGTTGAATTTGCGGGGGATGGAGGGGTCGAAACCATCTGGGAGAGTTTCGCAGTACCATGGGGCGAGGAAGATGAGGGTTGGGTTGAAACCATCTGAAACCTTTTTGGAGAAGCTACAGAGGGCCAATGGGAGGGCGAAAAGGGCGTTGGTGTTTGATGGAGATGGGATACGGTTGCCATTTTTGAAGGTTACAGATGTGGAAAACCAAATCGGTGATTCTGAAGAAGAAGATGATGACGGTGGTAGCGCCGAAGAAATAGTACAAAGAAAAATGGTGAAGAGGGTGTATAACCCTAGAGAAGAATACTTGACTTCTTTAAATTTTAACCATTTGGTACCACACAACCCAATCTACTATCTTCTGAATGCACCAATACGTTTCCTGCACCATTTCCATAAACTGGGTCAACAAATTTCGCCTGTGTTTAAGTCAGTGCCTCACGTTTTTGTCAATTCTAGAAAGTATATCAGAAATTTGGGGAAAAATCTAAGAAACAACGTGCTTAATTTTGCTAGTGATTTGGTTGGAGATTTTGACGAAGTGGGGGCTCACACTTCCAGATATGTGAGACCCAGACGTTTCAAAAGAAGTCTAGAACAATACCAACCTGAATACAGTTTGGTTTTTGGCAACCAAACTGAAGAACGTTCTAGGAAAAAAAGATATATCCTAAAGGTTGTAGACGAAGATGAAGTTGAAGAGTTTCTTCGAGAAAAATTAGGGGGTTTGGTTGAGCCACCAGCAAAACCAAAGAAGAAGAAAGAAAAAGAAAAAGACTCCAATAGGAGAAAACTAGTAGTGGAACAGTTATCACCAAAAGTGATAATTGATAATAACGGTCGCCCGTTTGTTGAAATCGACGGAGTTAAAAGACCCCTATTTCTTCACCGAAAATCCGAAGAAACCCAAACCATCAAAAAAGATCACGAATCCGAAGAAACCACACAAGACGTAAAAGAGAAAATCACTTCAATAATAACTCAAGCGAGAGAACGCATTGGCCAAAACCCTCCAGTCCAACCAACCGTGCCCAACCAAATGATCAAAGAACGGATCAACCAAATCTTGACAGAAATCCAAAACCTGATCAACCTAGATTTCGACAAGTACTCAACCATCCACAGCGACTTGTGCAAACTCCAAGGTTTCAAAGACCTTCTAACAACCGAATGGAAAAAAATCCTAGTAGAAGACAAATCCAACGACATTCCAAGCAAAATTCGCCTTCTAGATGACTTCAAAGAGATGCAGATTTTGCGCGACAAGTCCGTCGAAGACATAGCTTCTGTGTTGTCCACAGGGTCGACTTTCATGACCAAGAAATTGATCAAAATGCTAGTGAGGTTACAAAAACTTCAGTGCATTATCTACAGAGTGGTTGAAGATTTTGGTGAGAGGATCAAAATGGGTAATGATTTTGATCTTCGGAAAGAAATCAAATACGTTGATTACCTATCGGGGTTGAACTTCGTGGTGGGTTTAACCAAACACGATTTGGAAAATGATTTGAAACGGGAGAGAGACGCAGCGTTGGAAAATGAGATGCGAATTTTGGAAAATTTGCGGAAATTGTTGGAAGAATCACATGATCCGTTGAAGTTGTACGAGCAAGCGCAGATTCTGTGGGAGTTTAAGAATGTTGATAAGTTGCAGAAAGACACGATTGAGGAAATGAATGGGAAGATTTCGAGAGGGCAGAAAGTTAGAAAAGAGTTGAAGATTTTGTTCGATTTGATGCGACAGGTGGAGAATTGCGAAGAGAAACAGAAGAAGCTTCTGGAGGATTTTTTTCCCAAACAACACCATGGACACGTCCAGCGTGAAATCGTGGACTTAAATGATGAAAAAAGTGTGGAAATTCAAGAACCAGAAGAAATTACTGTAGCTGTTAGACACAACAAGAGTAGGAATCGGACTTTAAGACGCAAAGTTGTACCAGAAAGCACTACTATAAGTAGAATGAGGAATTTTCCACACAGGACTATAGTAGATGATAAAAAACCAGTCAAGTTGGTTTCAAATGGGTACAAGATGACGGCCTACAAGGTCACAGATGGTTTCGACCGACTCTAACCTCCTTCAGTATTATTTTCTACTTATTTATTTTTTTATATATATTTATTGTTAGTGTTGTCTTTATTTTTTCCATTGTTTTACCCTTCATTTATTAATTATCTATTATTTTCTGTTTTAGGAGTTAAACAGTGCCCGGGGGGTCATAAATACAATGGAAAAAATAGTGACTAGGCTCCCAGTTCTTTTGTTGTAAAATTGTTGTTTAAGTCCGTACTAAACTGTCATTATTATCAATAAAGCTGTTTATTAAACAACACGTGTACATTTTTTATCATATAGAAATTGTTGTGACCTCTGTCTCTAGATATCTGGAGTCAAAACATAAACTGCATTTTTCTATTTTCAATTTTGGCAAACTCTAAAGTGGTCGCTTACGCAAACACTGGATATTTATTTTTGTCGCTTTAAATTTGTTCGAGTAAACACCAGCTCGTTTAATGTTGTAATAAAAGAGTGCAAGTTTGCAATAAAATTTTTGTAAACACTTTCTAGCTGGCGTCAAGTCATTGATTCAATTCGGTTTTTAGCCGATTTTGATAAAAAAAATATAGGCAAGAAGCCAGAAGAAGTGATCAAAACCGACAACAAAAATTGCTTTACCATTTATTGTTATCAAATTAAAAATAAATCTACGTTTAAGAGAATACTCAAGAATTGGAGGATTACAATAGACTAGAAATATTAACAGTTATATAATACATTTTCTTGTTGATTTCGCACCCTAGAACTCATTTTCGGCATCGATTCTATGATGGCTGCAACCGTTTTTCCAGAATCGACCGCTGAAATATCGAAATTTTTGAAATTTTGAAAAATTCGCATTTCGTAGCGATTTTTTCGAAAATGTCGCTCAGTGACCATCAACAGGTTATATTTTTGGAATCAGCACGTCGAGATCTACGTCCCTGAATTTTTTCGCAATTTTTAGACGACTTTTTTAAAATTGAAAATTTCCCAATGGTCCCCCCTTCTTCAAATTTCGGCCAAATTTTGACATTTGCTAAACCTGACTGAATATATTTTCTTGTAGATTTCGAGCCCTAGTACTCACTTCCGGCATCGATTCCGTGATACCTGCAACCGTTTTTCCAGAATCGACCGCTGAAATATCGAAATTTTTGAAATTTTGAAAAATTCGCATTTCGTAGCGATTTTTTCGAAAATGTCGCTCAGTGACCATCAACAGGTTATATTTTTGGAATCAGCACGTCGAGATCCACGTCCCTGAATTATTTCGCAATATTTAGACCACTTTTTTAAAACTGAAATTTTCCCAATGGTCCCCCCTTCTTCAAATTTAGGCCAAATTTTGACATTTTCGAAACCTAACTGAATACATGTTCTTGTAGATTTCGAGCCCTAGAACTCACTTCCGGCATCGATTCTTTGATAGCTGCGACCGTTTTTCCAGAATCGATCGCTGAAATACCGAAATTTTTGAAATTTTGAAAAATTCGCATTTCGTAGCGATTTTTTCGAAAATGTCGCTTAGTGACCATCAACAGGTTATATTTTTGGAATCAGCACGTCGAGGTCTACGTCCCCGAATTTTTTCGCAATATTTAGACCACTTTTTTAAAATTGAAATTTTCCCAATGGTCCCCCCTTCTTCAAATTTCGGCCAAATTTTGACATTTGCGAAACCTAACTGAATACATTTTTTTGTAGATTTCAGGTCCTAGAACTCACTTCCGGCATCGATTCCGTGATAGCTGCAACCGTTTTTCCAGAATCGACAGCTGAAATATCGAAATTTTTGAAATTTTGAAAAATTCGCATTTCGTAGCGATTTTTTCGAAAATGTCGCTCAGTGACGATCAACACGTTATATTTTTGGAATCAGCATGTCGAGATCTACGTCCCTGAATTTTTTCGCAAAATCTAGACCACTTTTTTAAAATTGAAATTTTCCCAATGGTCCCCCCTTCTTCAAATTTCGGCCAAAGTTTGACATTTTCGAAACCTAACTGAAGATATTTTCTTGTAGATTTCGAGCCCTAGAACTCACTTCCGGCCTCGATTCTTCGATAGCAGCAACCGTTTTTCCAAAATCGACCGCTGAATTATCAAAATTTTTGAAATTCTGAAAAATTCGCATTTCGTACCGATTTTCTCGCAAATGTCGCTCAGTGTTCATCAACAGGTTATACTTTTGGAATCAGCACGTCGAGATCTACGTCCCTGAATTTTTTCGCAATTTTTAGACGACTTTTTTAAAATTGAAATTTTCCCTATGGTCCCCCCTTCTTCAAATTTCGGCCAAATTTTGACATTTTCGAAACCTAACTGAATACATTTTCTTGTAGATTTCGAGCCCCAGAACTCACTTCCGGCATCGATTCTTTGATAGCTGCAACCGTTTTTCCAGAATCGACCGCTGAAATATCGAAATTTTCGAAATTTTGAAAAATTCGCATTTCGTAGCGATTTTTTCGAAAATGTCGCTCAGTGACCATCAACAGGTTACATTTTTGGAATCAGCACGTCGAGATCTACGTCCCTGAATTTTTTCGCAATTTTTAGACAACTTTTTTAAAATTGAAATTTTCCCTTCTTCAAATTACGGCCAAATTTTGACATTTTCGAAACCTAACTGAATACATTTTCTTGTAGATTTCGAGTCCTAGAACTCACTTCCGGCCTCGATTCTTTGTTAGCCGTAACCGTCGCTGGAACAACGAATGGGTGGGTGGGCGGGCTATTGCTTTCTTATAAAAGATTCTTTAGGAAAAGTTAAATTTAACCCCGCCCACCCACCCGTTTTCTCATTTTTTTCTTCAGAATTTAGTATAACCCAAAAAATTACGTTTAACGCTTCTTTTAACAGCCTACGTTCCATTAATTCCCATTGTCATTTTACAAAAGAACGTATAATTCTAAACGTCTCTTTTTAGTGTAATAAGTCTAGGAATTAATTATATTACAACAAAACCTAGACAGCTTTGAAAAAATTAATTATTGTCCCTGAATAGCTAAATTATTGAGAACAATTTAGTTGTTATTTAAAAATGTAATCAAGAAAACGTAAAAGTAGAGGGTCGGCCGACGGACTCGATTACAATACTTCCTTCGCTTACGCTTGAGAAGTAAAAGGGAAAAAATCGATGAATAATTTTTATTAACTTTAATTAACACACAGTTGAAAATGGCCAAGGAACAATGGAAAAACAAAATAGTTATTTACTCCGCCAAATCAAATTAACTATTGCAAACATTGTTAATAAGACAAATTTAAAAACTGAAAATAAAACTATGGTAATGTACACACATTTGCTAATCTTTAGTACTAAAAATTTTCCACAATAAAATCCATGAAGACTGTCATGAAAAACAATGTTTATAGTAGGAACTGTTTCACAATAAAAATCAAACACTCAGTTTTCCATTGAAAAATTCCTTGCAAATTACACACTCTATTTATCTACAACAATGTTTAAAAATGACTCACCTGCACAAAAATGCACACTTGCAACAAACTTCCCATAATCGCCCCCCCACACACAACCTTGACACCCAACAAAACAAAAACTTCAGAACAAAATCTTTATTTCACTGGAAAAAAATAGGAGTAGACATGGTAATACTGCAAAAAAATTGGCAAAAAAATAACTGGGAAAAACCCACTAATACTTTAATTAGCCTCCTCGAAGTAGGTCTTGCTACCCTGTGGATCCGGCTTCATGGTCTTCTTCCCCGGAGCCCAATTAGCCGGGCACACCTCCCCATGCTCATCCGTATACTGGAACGCCTGCACCAATCTGAGAGTCTCGTCCACCGACCGCCCCACCGGCAAATCGTTAATCGTAATCTGCCTCAAAATCCCCTTGGGATCAATAATAAACAGCCCCCTGAAAGTCACCCCGGTATCCTCATCCAGAACCCCATAGTCCCTTGAAATCTTGAAATTCTTATCAGCCAACAACGGGATATTCATCTGCCCCAAGCCCCCCTGCTTCCTGGGGGTGTTCACCCACGCCAAGTGCGAGAAGTGGCTGTCCGTGGAGGCGGCGATCACCGCCGTCTTGATCCTCTTGAACTCGTCGACGCGGTCCGAGAAGGCGATGATTTCCGTGGGGCACACGAAGGTGCTGAAACCGGCGGTGATTATCGCGGTTTTCGACGTGGGGGCTACTTACAAGTCCAGGGGGTAGAAGAAGATCACCACGTACTGGCCCTTGTAGTCCGAGAGGCTGATTTCTTTGAACTGGCCCTCGACGACGGCGGTGCCCTTGAAATCCGGCGCTGGTTTTTGAAGGCTGGGGACAGGCATTGTGGAATTTGCTAGAACGCTTGACACACGTGTTCTTTGGTAGAGAGACGGCGGTTAAATGGCGGTTGGCGGTTGATAAATGGGTGAAAGCGCAGCTGATCGTCGATTGTTTCGACAATGGCCGACCGGTGTGCTGTATGCCGGCGAGAAAAAGTGACCTTTGATATTGCGCAGGGGGAGCAGTGCCGGCGGTGCTGGGGGGGCTGGGGCTTGCGTAATTCTAGACCACGGGCGGTTTTTTGTCGGTTGTTGCTAAAGCGAGTTCTACGCTTTAGTTTGTTACTTTAACAATGCGACCTAATTCGTTAATTTCTTTACTATGATTGGCTGGTTTTTGACATAGAGTTTATTCGCTTTGCTGATGCTCGTGTAGTTGACAGTGGAAAATAATGAAATATACTATATTACAAAAATGAGTAATTATTATTTTTGAAACGCAAGTTTCTCTTTAATCACGAACAATTTAAAGAATACCGCTTTCCTCTTGTAGCTGTAACTTCAGAAAGATAACTAAAGAAATTTGTTCTGTCACTATAAAGTTTAATGATTTTGATTATTTATAAAAATCGTCACCTCCTGAATTCAGGTTAGACAAAAAAACCGATTCCACAGTTTAATTATCCTGATATTGGCACTACAAAGTTTGAAAGCTGCTTGTCACGGATTGACAATTTGAAGTGTAAAAATGGAAAGAGACTGTCAACCTATGGACCATTTTTTTTTGTTATTTATGGTTATTTTGCTGAATTGACATATCTGTTATAGTGTTATACACCGATGATTTAAAGCTCAATAGAAACATCGCAAATTTTTAATAATATCACTTCATTTAACAGTATTATTTAAATAAGCATTAAAATATACTTTTTTCTATAAATTAGCAAGTATTTGTTATTTAACAGAGTCAAGGTTTTCTTAAAAATCTCAATAATTTAAACATTTGCGATAGTGCCATCTTAGTTTTTTCACTTCAACAACATGCTATCATAACCTCAAAATTTTGAATATAGATCAGAACAAATACCTAATTTTGTTGATATATTTTATGGTACGATTTTGCATGGTGCAGTTGTCATCAGTTTATAAAAAATAAATTTATTTGATTAATTTGCATACTGTTCTAAAGTTTCTGCCCTTTCTAACAAAAACTAACATCTGTCACATCAAACATCTGAAAAAGGTAGTTAAAAAAAGATTAATTAAAACAAAAAAACCTGTTTTAAAGCAACTAAAACAAACCGGTTTTTTTTTTCAGTAACATTTCTCTATCTACTTTTCAATATTCCAAAATGTTTTGCAATGACATAGGCATGACATATCGGATGTTCAACTGAAAAAGTCATCAAATTGCCTTTGATTTTTGTAAATATTGTGATGTGAAGTATGTGGACAATAAATAAAATGGAATTAATGACAACTGAAACAACAATTTGGATAAATAAAACACACATGTTTTTCTCTACGATTTCTTTTATCAGAAAAGCACCGCCAACTTATTACATTTCATTACGCTCAATAGCAGCTTCCTTCGACCCCAAAACGTTAAAATACCATACGATTGAAACAAAAATCGTCTGGTAGGCCATGCAATTTATGTTTAAAATAATCATGTTGGCATTGCTGCTATTTGTCTGTAACTGTCAAACTAAACAAGGAACGCGCTACTTTTGCCAACATTATATTATATAATATTATTTTAATAATTGAAGCAAATTTTTGTGTTGGCATTCTGAATTATTGGCAGCAGTGCTAGTATCAGTTGAAAGTTCTCAATTTTGACATGAGCGCGCATAACAAATGGTTAAGAAATTGAAAGCTGGCAATTTAGTGTCAGATGATTTAATGATTTTGATTATTTAAATTTATTTTTTGTTTCAGTTGAAGAATTTATAAAAATCGTCACCTCGTAAATTCAGGTTAGACAAAAAAACTGATTCCACAGTTTAATTATTCTGATATTGGCACTACAAAGTTTGAAAGCTGCTTGTCACGGATTGACAATTTGAAGTGTAAAAATGGAAAGAGACTGTCAACCTTTGGACCTTTTTTTTGTTATTTATAGTTACTTTACTGAATTGAAATACCTATCTGTTATACACCGATAATTTAAAGCTCAATAGAAACATCTCAAAATTTTAATAATTTCACTTCATTTAACAGTTTTAATTAAATAAGCAATTAAAATATACTTTTTTCTATAAATTAGCAAGTATTTGTTATTTAATATAGTCAAGGTTTTCTTAAAAAATCTCAATAATTTAAAAATTAGCAATAGTGCTATCTTAGTTTTTTCACTTCAACAACATGCTGTCATAACCTCAAAATTTTGAATATAGATTAGAACAAATACCTAATTTTGTTCATATATTTTATGGTATGATTTTGCATGGTGCAGTTGTCATCAGTTTATAAAAAATAAATTTATTTGATTAATTTGCATACTGTTCTAAAGTTTCTGCCCTTTCTAACAAAAACTAACATCTGTCACATCAAACATCTGAAAAAGGTAGTTAAAAAAAGATTAATTAAAACGAAAAAACCTGTTTTAAAGCAACTAAAACAAACCGGTTTTTTTTTCAGTAACATTTCTCTATCTACTTTTCAATATTCCAAAATGTTTTGCAATGACATAGGCATAACATATCGGATGTTCAACTGAAAAAGTCATCAAGTTGCCTTTGATTTTTGTAAACATTGTGATGTGAAGTATGTCGACAATAAATAAAATGGAATTGATGACAACTGAAACAACAATTTGGATAAATAAAACACACATGTTTTTCTCTACGATTTTTTTTATCAGAAAAGCACCGCCAACTTATTACATTTCATTACGCTCAATAGCAGCTTCCTTCGACCCCAAAACGTTAAAATACCATACGATTGAAACAAAAATCGTCTGGTAGGCCATGCAATTTATGTTTAAAATAATCATGTTGGCATTGCTGCTATTTGTCTGTAACTGTCAAACTAAACAAAGAACGCGCTAGTGGTGCCAACATTATATTATATAATATTATTTTAACAACTGAAGCAAATTTTTGTGTTGGCATTCTGAATTATTGGCAGCAGTGCTAGTATCAGTTGAAAGTTCTCAATTTTGACATGAGCGCGCATAACAAATGGTTAAGAAATTGAAAGCTGGCAATTTAGTGTCAGATGATTTAATGATTTTGATTATTTACATTTATTTTTTGTTTCAGTTGAAGAATTTATAAAAATCGTCACCTCGTAAATTCAGGTTAGACAAAAAAACTGATTCCACAGTTTAATTATTCTGATATTGGCACTACAAAGTTTAAAAGCTGCTTGTCACGGATTGACAATTTGAAGTGTAAAAATGGAAAGAGACTATCAACTTTTGGACCATTTTTTTTGTTATTTATGGTTATTTTGCTGAATTGACGTATCTGTTATACACCGATGATTTAAAGCTCAATAGAAACATCGCAAATTTTTAATAATATCACTTCATTTAACAGTATTATTTAAATAAGCATTAAAATATACTTTTTTCAATAAATTAGCAAGTATTTGTTATTTAACAGAGTCAAGGTTTTCTTAAAAATTTCAAAAATTTAAACATTTGCGATAGTGCCATTTTAGTTTTTTCACTTCAACAACATGCTATCATAACCTCAAAATTTTGAATATAGATTAGAACAAATACCTAATTTTGTTGATATATTTTATGGTACGATTTTGCATGGTGCAGTTGTCAGCAGTTTATAAAAAATAAATTTATTTGATTAATTTGCATACTGTTCTAAAGTTTCTGCCCTTTCTAACAAAAACTAACATCTGTCACATCAAACATCTGAAAAAGGTAGTTAAAAAAAGATTAATTAAAACAAAAAAAAACCTGTTTTAAAGCAACTAAAACAAACCGGTTTTTTTTTCAGTAACATTTCTCTATCTACTTTTCAATATTCCAAAATGTTTTGCAATGACATAGGCATGACATATCGGATGTTCAACTGAAAAAGTCATCAAGTTGCCTTTGATTTTTGTAAATATTATGATGTGAAGTATGTCGACAATAAATCTAAAATGGGATTGATGACAACTGACACAACAGTTTGGATTAATAAAACACATACGTTTTTCTCTACGATTTCTTCTATCAGAAAAGCACCGTCAACTTATTACATTTCATTACGCTCAATAGCAAAGCTTCCTTCGACCCCAAAACGATAAAATACCATATGATTGAAACAAATTCTCTGCTAGGCCATGCAATTTATGTTTAAAATAATCATGTTGCCATAGCTGCTGTTTGTCTGTAACTGTCAAACTAAACAAGGAACGCGCTAGTGGTGCCAACATTCTTATTTTAAAATTAATTGTCAGGCCTACTATTATTTTATGAAGCAAATTTTTGTGTTGGCATTCTGAATTATTGGCAGCAGTGCTAGTATGTCAGTTGAAAGTTGTCAATTTTGACATGAGTGCACGTAACAAAAGGTTAAGAAATTGAAAGCTGGTAATAATATATAATAATAAATAATAAGTAATAAAACACTTGCGTTTTTCTCTACGTTTTCTTCTAGGACACCTCTTGAAAGAATTTTTTTCAAGAAATTTAGTTGTGTAAACTGGACTTGATTGAAAATGACATTTAAACGTCAATAAAAATTTGAAAATCACACTGGGGAAAGAAAAGAAGTATCCTACTTTATTGTAGCCGCCACTGTACATACACTATGCTCAACAGCAAAGCTTCCTTCAACCCCAATACATACCATATGATCAAAAAAACCCTGGTAGGCCGTGCAATTTATCTTTAAAATAGTGATGTTGGCATTGCTGCTATTCGTCCATTTATTGGCAGTTATATGACTGTAACAGTTAAACTAAACAAGGAACGCGTTAGTGTTACCAACATCATTAGTTTAAAAATTGATTCATGATTGATGAAGAGTTGATTCTAAATTATTGGTAGCAATGCTAGTACGTTAGTTGACAGTTTTAACGTTTTAAAAAGTTGAAAATATGGCAGCTGATGACTTGATGTCATAAATGTCAATTTAACAGTCAGATGTGCAACCCAAAATTATAAATATGTTGCCAACCTGACACAAAAATTACGAACATTAACATCACTCAGTAATATAACAATAACATAACAATTTGTTTGAAATATAAAATCTAGTCTTATTGATTTCGGTTATCAAATATATTAGTCTCATTGTTATAATGTTACATATTATTTTTTTCCCTATTAGGTACTGACTTGTGTAAACACTATTGTGTATTAACATGAATAAAGACATACATACATATAAACTTAATTATTTATACCAAGAAGGGCCAAAGTCAGTCAGAAGTTACTATTGAATAGGTTTTTTGAAAAAATACTTCCTAATAAAATTAAAAAATTAACAATTTAAAAAAAAAAATAAAAATGTGTAATTGTTGTCGTCGAATTACTAACAGAAACGGTTTTAGTACAGGTTTATTTACAATACCAACTACAAAAATGATAACACGGCCCAAGGTTGTATGTGTATGTCCACGTGGAGGTCTTGAAGAGAAGAGGACGTCTGCACACGGTGAGTGGTCGGAGAAGAAGAAGGTCGTCTGCACCCGGTGAGTGGTCGGAGAAGAAGAGGGTCGTCTGCACCCGGTGAGTGGTCGGAGAAGAAGAGAGTCTGTTTTACGTTTCCACCGTGGCGTTTCCTCTTTGGGCTTGCGCGTTGTAGCTGCCAATCCGGTGGCTGCATTATGTATGTATAACTGGTTGCCTACTTCCAGGCGGCCACAAATGTTCTTATAATTCTGTATGAAAAGAGCCTGTAATGATGAGATTTATTAAATGATCCCATAAACAAAGATACTTACAAAAATGCTACTTGTTGTTATTATTAGTACTTGATAATGATAAGATATCAGAATGCGTGATGTAGATCGCAGTTGGAAGATAAGTGTCATTTAAATATAATTTTTTAGTTCGTGTCATTAATATGAGTTTGAAGTTTTGAGAAAAAACAAAAAACAATGACATAAAATAACAACAACCACACGAAAATTTTCATGCTATATATTTATTTCATCGAGTGGTACACAAGGTCACGTGTTTGTCTGCAGAACAAATTTTTGATTGGTTCCTCCATGTTTATTATGAAGTATTAAATCAGCCCCAGGAATAAACTGACCTAACTTTATATCCAACACTTTATTGCTATTACCGGGACTGCTTATAGTTTCATCCAGAGGATTGTAACTCCACTGTTGATTGTAATCACCAGTTTTTGCTTTTGTCTTTATTACATCTCTGTCTACCGAAAGATATTCTCTACAAACCAACGACAAAAATTTTAAACTCACACAAACATATGTCGTTACTTACTGTCTACCAACATTCTTCAACAGAAACTTTCCGCCTTCAATGCACTCCAACTGCCACTGTTGCAAAGGACTCCCTGTATATTCTGCTAGTTTTATTTCAGCCAAATTGTTATCCAGAACCAATGACGATGGAGTGCTGACGATGATGATAGTATTTGGGAATTCTGGATACCATTGTATCTTTTGCAATACCAAGGTGCGTGGTTTGATGTAGTCTTGGAGAGGCTGGCAATCTGAAGGGTTACCCATGATGGGGCACTGATGCAACCACTTTCGAGCGCATTTTATAGTAAAAACCTTAAATAAGTTAGTTTTCAGTTTGAATAAAGCGGCAACAATTAATCAGGAGAACTTTATTTAACTTTAAGCAGACGTGCGTATATCCGCTGCATAAAACTAGTGTTAGAATTTACGGATGTTGTCTTGTTGATTTTACTTAACTCAAGATAAGTTTGTGGTTGCAGTGGTTCAAAGATTCGATTACAGTTGTTTTTGTGTTTTTAATATCATGAATTTGGTGGTAAAATAACAAAAAAAATATTTTCCCGATTCCCTCGATTAATGGAAATCGACGCCGCCACTGCCCTCACTTGTCAAAACCAAACAAAACCCACCCTGACGCGCTAACTTTAAATTCAAAATGTTTGACAATATTGCACAATAGTTGACGATGATGACATTGCGATTCCATTTAATTAATATTCCAATTACCAATATAAACGTGTTTACACATGTTTAATAGAAATTTATTTGTGTAACGTCTGTTTGTGATAAAATAGATTGGAAGTTACACAATCGGACATAATCCGAATTCCCTGTTATTTAAGTTGTTTACCATTTTTATTTATCTTATCCGGTTATCTCGAAGGATTATTTTGCTAATAATTGCTATCTACCGGTAGCACGCCATTTGATGCTTTTATTGGATAATTGGGGCGTTCGAGATTGGTGCTACTGATGACGATAAGGCAATGATAATAAAACATTACGGAGTGTAAATGCGAAAAATAAACGTAATTCTAGATGAATATGCAACTTTGATTCGTTTCTAATTAGTAATTAGGGTGGCAAGGTCGAGGAAATGAATTAAACATGAAATGGCAATCTGGGGCCGATTATTGTTATTAAAGGTTTTTTTGGCGTGCTATCGTGAAATTCTGATCACAAAGAAGCGGCAAAGTTCAATCGAAGTTTGCGCATTGCGGATTTATTTTTTGTAAATATGCCATTATTAACGTGATATATAAATATTTAAACGGGCACAAGGTTACTGAATAAATGAGCTTACAGAAATCGGGAAGATTTAATTAATAAATAAATCACTTTGTGTGACATCGTATAATTTAGTGGAATTTAGGTTCATCTTTCATTAATAAGCTGATACAAAAAGAAACAAAAATAGAACTGCTATAATTATTGACGTTGATATTTTCCATAATGCAGTTTTATATATGTAATAAAGCAATATCTGTATAGAAAAAATCGTATTTAGTTCTTTATTATTATTATTAGTTGTGTAACTCGTGACTAGGCAACCAATTATACAGTAATAGAAAAAATAAATACGAAGATATAAATACTTATATTTAAAAACCACTTCAAAAAACTATTTATAATCTTTAACAGAACATATCAACTAAGAAGTCGTATCTTAAAATAGTCAATAATAATTTTTAAAATTTTTGGAATAGTGAGTTTAACTGTACGAATTTCGAGGTTGCCGCACCTTCTAGTCACTATATTAGTCTACCACACGTCAATAAAAAACTAACCTCAATCGTAAATGTGTTGTTAGTTGTTTCTGCACGAACGAAAACACCTTTAACCAGAAAAATGAAGAATTTAGAACTGTTACAACTATTCCATAAACCCGTGGATGACACGTTCGCCCCCTCAACAATCTTCGCCCAAACCGGCGACACCACCTACTTCATCAAAAACACCACCTTGTACAAACACGATTTTATTAAAAACACAACACTCGAAGTGTGCCCCCACAACTTCGAAGACGCCACTCACTTAAAAGTCCTCACCATCGAAAACAAAATCTGCATCGTGACCAAAGACAGCATCCACATTTTCGACCCGGAGGAGCACCAGGAGCTCCAAACCCTGGCATTCGACAGCGACATAGCCGCCATTAGTTGGAACCCCACGGAGGAAATCGTCGCCTTGGTGTCACAAAGTGGCGATGTGGCCACGTATAGCATCGACTACATCAACGGAGAAGTTTTCCCCCAGGGGCAAAGTAGCGTCCAGGCGAAGATTCCGGATACCGTGTATGTGGGTTGGGGCTCCAAAGACACCCAGTTCCGGGGTTCAGAAGGCAAATTAAAGAAAACAACACCAGGTACAATTTCTGTCGTGTTTGTTCAAAACATAACCCCACTTTTTTGACAGTTGAGACTAAACCCGTCAAAGACAAAAAACCGACGATTTCCTGGCGCGGAAATGGAGAGATGTTCGTCGTGAATTACTGGGAGAGCGAGAAAAGGAAGTTCGTTGTTTTTGAAACGCCCTGTAAAGCGTTGTACAGGTCGGAGGAGTGTCCGGGGTTGCAGCCACCAGTGGCGTGGCGTCCGACGGGGAATATGATAGCGACAGTGGCGGAGTCGAGTTCTCAGAGTATCGTTATTTTTGAAAAAAACGGTCAGAAGCGGTTCAGTTTTGACTTAAATTTCGGCACGGTGAGTACTTTTACGTCGTCGGGTGTTTTGTGTCACATTTGTAATTTTTATAGGTTAGAATAAAAGAACTAAAATGGAGTCCTTGTGCCCAAATTCTTACTATTTGCACCGAGGACTCCGTGACCAACACACAAAACATACATTTACTAACTTCGAGTAATTATAAGTGGTACGAGAAGCAAAAATTGACGTTTAGACGTGACAATCCACTATTGGATTTTGATTGGTTGGATTCCACCCAGTTCACGTACACTCTACGTGTAGTCACAGTTAAAGAAATCGTCAAGTATGTGTTTCGCAGCGTCATCAACAACTCATTGGGGGTTTGTGGGGTCATTGACGGCAAAAGTCTCCAATTGACTGATTTCACCGACTCGGTGATCCCCCCAATAATGAGTCTCAAGACCTTTACGAATTCAGCGCCTATTAATTTTGTCGCTTTTGGTCAAAATTGTGTAGTTATAGTTGACTGTGACAACAATCTAAAAATATTAGACATTGAGACACTAGAAAACGTTACTTCTGTCAATCTAAAGTTGACACTTGATAATCTGTCACTCATTCCTTTGTCATGTCATCACTTTATCCACACTCCAGGCACGATTTTTTTTTCTTGTGAAACTCCCTCAGACACAATTATCCACAATTTAGACGTCGCCACAACCGAGATTAAATTCATCAACGCCGCCCCCACCCCACTACGACACTTAGTGCACATTTCCACCAATCACGATCTCGTAAGTCTAAGCCGCCTCGATTCTAACCTCTATATCAACGACTGTCAAGACACGGTCCGTCAAGACGTCAAAATCATCAACGATAAACCTTACACGTGTCGTTTACTGTCAAACTGTCACTTTTACGTCAACGATCACAAAATCAGCGACTGTGTCAACTCGTTTCAAATTTTCGACAACTACCTCCTCTACACCACCAAACTCAACGAACTATATTGTTTGAGATTGACTGGTAATTTTGACAACAAATATCTTCGTAGTGTGGAACAAGGCGCCACTATCGTCACCGCAATAACAAATTCCCCCAAAATAGTACTACAATTACCCCGGGGCAACCTTGAAACGATTTCGTGTCGTTTAATATCGATCGACATCTTGGATCGTTTGTTGGACGATGGACGTTGGGATGAAGCCCTGCGTTTCATACGTTTGGAGAAACTAAACGCGAACTTGTTGTTCGATTTGGACGCGAATCGATTTTTGGAGCAAATCGATCGTTTCATGACCGGGGCAAAAACGATCAACGAGTTAAACAGCATTTGCTTGGAGTTCGAGGAGGGGAACGTGTTGGATAGCATTTATCGGAATTGGGGGAAATCGAAGATGTATCCGGGTAAAATCGACGCGATTTTTTTGGCAATTTTCAAGTACTTTAATAAAGTGGACTACGCCGACTATATAACCACTATACTGATAATAAATTTGAATTTTTTCACACTTCGAGAGGGTTTGGTGTACTTGCAGGACCTCCTGAGACGTTCGTACGGTGACGTCACGTTGAAAAAAAAACTAATCGAGGCGATTAACACTCTCAAAACGTACGGTTGCGACCAAGAGAAACTCTACACCGAGTCGTTGCTTCTGTATGACTTAGATCTGGCGCACTTTGTGGCCACATGTTGCCAGATGGACCCCCGCGTCTACGAACCGCAGATAAACACCTTGAGAAACTTAAGGGAGGTGGAACGTCGCTTCCAGATTAACGTCTTCGCGAAAAACCCTAGATCAGCCGTTAATTATTTACTCCGTTGCCCTGACATTGAATCCGAGGTTGTCTCCAATTATATTAAAAACAACAACGTCAGTCTAGAAGCTTATGAAACTTGTCCTAGAAACAACCGACAGTTTGAAGTCGTGAGTCGCGCGTTCGCGGAGGATATGAGTAGGCGTGGCTTCCACCAAGAGGCGGGGCTTGTTTTGAAGAGGGCGGGGTTGTTGAAGGAGGCGCTTGACGAGTTTATGTTGTGTTTAAACTGGAGGGAGGTTGTGAATGTGTTAGGGGAGTTGAAAGTGAATGAGGTGGAGAGGGTGAGGGTAATCAGTGAATTGGCGTGGAGGTTAACACAGGGTCATGTACAAGACGCGGCCATGTTGTACGAGTTCTATGTCGGGAGTTACGAAATGGCGATTAAGGTGTTGTTGGAGGCGGAGTTATTCAAGGAGGCGGTGCACGTGGCGAAGAAACACAATCGGAGGGATATTATTGGTAAATACTTAGGTTTGTTTTTGGGTTAATTCAAAAAAGTATTTAGTTTCCGAGGTTGTCCCATTGGTGCAAAAGCAGAAAATCTATTTGGAGGAGAAGCTAAAAGACTTGAGTGCGTTGTATGACAAGTACCGACTGAGACTAGTGGAAGTCAGACGCAATAAACTTAACAAATTTAGTAACTTTGGAGATGAGTGTGATGATAGGGACGATTTGTTTTCTGATGCAGGTAGCACGATAACGAAAACTTCAAGGTCCTCTAGGTACTTAGATTCCACAGTAGTCGAAGCAATTGTCGTAAAGTTTGCTTTGTTAGGTCACGTTCTTCCACAGCGTCTTCACGTAATCGTCGAAAAGAAGAAAAGAAGAAGCAAGATCTTCGGGAAGGTGGAATCTATGAAGATATAGCGTTGATTAGGGCTCTGCATTGCACGATTAAAGAAATTTACAACAAAGGTGAAGATGTTCGAAACTGTTGTATTCTACTGTTGCAAGAAAGTGACAGTTCGTTTAAAGAAGTTAAGAAGTTGTATGACTTGTATTGGAAAGTTGACGGCCATGTTAAAAATGGCGTCGGGGAAATATGGCCGCCACATTTTACTGCCTACTATCAGACGCAAGACGTGCAGGAGTTGGCGGATTTGGAAAACTTCGAACATTTAGGTTAGGGTTGGTGTAGGTTGTCGTGTGACTGATTTTGTTTGTTTTAGATGGGGCGTACCGGACGGCACCTGATAGCCCGAATTGGAAACTCAATTTTTTTAAGAAATAAATTTTAATTAAGTGTAACTGTGGTCTTTTGTTACTTCCCTCATTACTTCCCCTTTTTTTTATTTAAAAAATCAGCACGTCGAGATCTATAATCTTGAATTTTTTGAGAATTTTTAGACGACTTTTAAAAAATGTAATTTGCAATCATGTTTAAAAAAACTAGAGTTGAAAATCGAAAAAGTGAAAACCGAAAAATTGCAAATCGAAAAATGAAAAATCCAAAAACTAAAAAATTTCACAATAAAAAAAATACAATCAGAATACTGAAAAACCGAAAACGAAAAATTGCAACTCGTGGACTCAGGCGCGGATACAGGATTTCGTTGGGGGGGGGGGGCAATTTTTGTGCGATTGTACCTATCTTCCAGAAATTCGTTTTAAACAAAAAAAATTCATAAAATATTAGCTAGTATATTCTTTTTCACATAACATGGGTGACATTTGGTTTTTTTCATTACACGTATAGTGTACAGTAGAACCTCGATAATCCTAATTAATTGGGAAAAAGGTGTGTTCGGATCAACGATTTGTTCGGATCAGCGATTTTCCCAAAAATCTGAAAGGGAAATGAATAATAACTTCATACACAACTGAAAACAAACTTCAAGAAATAAACCTAAATTTTTTAAAGAATTCTTAAGCAACAATGGATAATAGATACATTCTAAAAAAATATCCGTGACCATAAACACGCTATCTTTTTGGAATCAGCACCCCGGGATCTATACCCTGAATTTTTTCAGAATTTTTAGATGAGTTTTTCAAAAATGAAATTTTCCATTATGCATTACCTCCATTAAGCAAATTTCGGCCCTGCTCGACGATTTTCGAAATTTAACTAAATATATTTTCTTGTAGATTTTGGGCTTCAGAAGTCACTTCTGGCTTTATTTTTTCGATAACTTAAACCATTTTTCCAGAATCGTCCAGTTGAAATATTGCAATTTTTAAAAATTTCGAAAAATTCAAATTTCACGGCGAATTTTCCGAAAATATTGCTCCGTTACCATAAACATGGTATATTTTTGGAATCAGCACGTCGGGATATATATCTCTGAATTTTTTAAGATTTTTTAGGAAACTTTTTCAAAAATGAAATTTTTCTCATGCAAATTTCGACCCATTTTCGACGATTTTCGAAATTTAACCAAATAATTTCTCTTGTAGATTTCGGGTCTCATTTCTCCGATAACTTCATCCTTTTTTCCAGAGTTAGTTAATTAATTCATACAACATAATGCAGAAAGATCTTGCGTCATTTTTGGAAGTACATAGATGCATGTTTTCAAGTTCAGTTCGGATTGCAGAGTTTTTGTTCGGATTAAAGAGGCATCGACTTCAAATAGCCTCTGTTCGGATTACTGGATGTTCAGATAATCGTGAGTTTGGATTAAAGAGGTCGTACTGTATTTACAAAATGAAATGTGATTTCAAAATTTTGAAAAATAATAAAGTACCTCGGTCGTGCGTCGGGGGCACCCATTGCCCCCCCCCCCCCCCTTGGATCCGCGCCTGCGTGGACTGGAAATCGAAAAATTGCTAAATATAAAAATTAACATCCAAAAGTTGTAACATAGAAAAATTGAAAACTTAAAAGACCTCAGAATTGCACATCGTAAAATTGCAGAAATAAAAAAAATGAAAAATTTCAGATCGAAAAATTGAAAAAGCAAAAGTATTATTTGTTTCTCCAATTTTTCAATTTTTAATTTTTCAATTTGCAATTTTTTTTCAATGTTCTATTTCTTCAGTTTTTCGTTTCGGTTTTTTATTTTCTTTATTTTTCAATTTTTACGTTTTTTCATGTTTTGATTTTATAATTTTTGTTCAGCGTGAAATTTTTTAAATTTTGAATTTTTCAATTTTTAGATTTTTCAAGTTCTACGTTTTTAGTTTCGGTTTTTTATTTGCGTTATTTTTTTGAATTATTCGATTTCACAGTGTTTCGATTTTATAATTTTTTGTTTTTCCAATATTAATTTTTTCAATTAGTCGTCCTTCAGCTTTTTGATTTGAGATTTTTCTTGTTTCTTCAATTTTTAGAATTTGGAATTTTTCGATTTAAAAATTTCTCGAGCTTTCAAATTTCAAATTCTTTGATTTTTCATTTCTTCAAATTTTCGGCTTGCAATTTTTCGTTTCGATTTTTTATTTTCCTTATTTTTAGTTTTACAGTTTTTCAATTTTTCAATGTTCCGATTTTAATTGTTTTGTTTTTTCAATTTTTCGATTTGCAGTTTATCAGTTTTTCATTTTTTTGTTTCTTCAATTTTACGATATGCACCTATTCGAGTTTTCAGGTTTACGATTTTCCAAATTTTGGATATTTCAGTTTTCAGATTTTGCAATTTTTCTATTTGGAATTTTACGAGTTTTAAATTTTAAATTTTTTCAATTTAAAAAAATAAAATAAAATCAGAATACTGAAAAACCGAATAATTGGAAAATAAAGAACCGAAAACGAAAAATTGCAAAGCAAAAAAACTGAAGAAATGAAAAATTCGGAAAAATTGAAAACTCGTGGAACTGCAAACCGAAAAAATGCTAAATATAAAAATTAACACTTCCGAAAGTTAGAAAATCAAAGAATTGAAAACTTAAAAGACCTCAGAGTTGCATACCTATCGTAAAATTGCAGAAATAAAAAAATGAAAGATTCCAAATCGAAAAATTGGAAAAACAAAAAATTATAAAATTGAAACATTGAAAAATCGATTAATTAAAAAAATAAAAAAAAATATTTTTTTACTATTACGTAAATTAAATTTTATAATATTTTTTGTTTTTCCAATTTTTTAATTTTTCAATTTGCAATTTTTCGTTTCGCACTTTTAATTATTCCATTTTTCAATGTTTCGATTTTATAATTTTTGTTTTTTCAATGTTTTATTTCTTCAATTTTTCGTTTTGCAGTTTTTCAACTTTTCATTTTGTTGAATTTTACGATATGCAACTCCTCAACTTTTTTTAAATGTTTTAGTTTTTTGTTTTTATTCCAACTTTTGAATGTATCAATTTTTAGATTTAGCAATTGTTCGATTTGCAATTTTTCGTTTCGGTTTTTTATCTTGTTTATTTTTCAATTTTTCCGTTTTTCAATGCTTTGATTTTATAATTATTGTTCAGCGTGAAATTTTTCAAATTTTGAATTTTTCAATTTTTCGATTTTTCAACTTCTATATTTTTAAAATTTTCATTTTTTCAATTTTATGTTTTTCAGTTTCTCGATTTTCCAATTTTTCATTTCTTCAATTTTCGATTTTCAAATTTTATTTTCTCGATATTTAATTTTCCAGTTTTTCGATCTTACAATTTTAGCGATTTTATGATTTTTGGGTTTTTCAATTTTTTGATTTATTTTTTAATATACCTCGATTTTTCGTTTTCCAGTTGCAATCTGCTAAAAGAAAATATAAATATTTCGACTTTTTAATTTTTAATTTTTCAGTTTTACGATTTGTAGTTTTTAGTTTCGGTTTTTTATTTTCTTTATTTTTTCAATTATTTGATTTTTCAGTGTTTCCATTTTATAATTTTTTGTTTTTTTAATATTAATTTTTTTCAGTTTGTTGTTTCATCAGTTTTTCGATTTGAGATTTTTCAAGTTTTGATTTTTCATTTCTTCAAATTTTCGACGTGCAATTTTTCGTTTCGATTTTTTATTTTCTTTATTTTTACAGTTTTTCTATTTTTCAATGTTCCGATTTTAATTTTTTGTGTTTTTAATATTAATTTTTTTCAGTTAGTCGTTTCATCAGTTTTTCGATTTGAGATTTTTCAAGTTTTGATTTTTCATTTCTTCAAATTTTCGACGTGCAATTTTTCGTTTCGATTTTTTATTTACTTTATTTTTACAGTTTTTCTATTTTTCAATGTTCCGATTTTAATTTTTTGTTTTTTCAATTTCAATTTTTTCAATTTTTAGATTTTTCTATTTTTAATTTCTTCATTTTATGAATTTGCAATTTTTTGTTTCGAATTTTTATTTTCTTCATTTTTTCAATTTTTCTATTTTCCAATCTTCTGGTTTTCTAATTTATTTTTTCAATGTGAAAATTTTCAATTTTTTTATTTTGTAATTTTTCGGTTTTCAATTTTTCAGTTGTTCAACTTCTAGATTTTTTAATGGTTCGTTATTATTATCTTTTCTTAGAGGCTATCTCATTTGCCCAAATCAGTCGTATCTTAGCAGATACTAGCCCCGCCCACCCACCCTCTCTTTTCTTAGAGGATATGTCATTTGCCAAAGTCAGTTTTATCTTAGCAAGTACTGAAGACTGACTTTTACAAAAAATGATCCAAATTTGGGAACATTACGAAATTAATTTTTCAAAGAAGTTCTGTAGACATAACCTTGGATCAATTTTTTTTAAATTTTACCTTAATACCTAAGTACTCTAAAGATCGTTTTTAAATTTCATTGAAACACAACCATTGGAAAAAAAGTTTATTGTTACAAAAATGAATAAAAATTAACATGACATTGAAAATGATAACAGAGTGAACGTTGGACCCATGACACGTCGCATTCCTCCAAAACAATACTACCAATGCAACCCATCATGGGGTCCCAGCTTCCACTAGCAACGCCAAAGTAACATGAACATGAAAGAAATGAAAAACTTTGGTCCAACAACAAGGATTTCCTAGAACCCATCATCTAGTCGATGGTCAGTTGTCTAAAGCTCCCATCCAACCCGAACAGATCTTCGTAGTTGGTAGGTTTCCCAGGACGCTTGGACTCGTCGGCCTTGATCCCCTCCTGCTCCTTGAACCATGCAGAGTACTCCGCCAACTTCTTCATCCATTGAGCTACAACAACCCGTCAATACTACTCCATTTCAGACCCAGCGACCTACCATGAAAATCGTCCATCTTCCCAGCACTCCCGCCGTACTCCTCCGGCAAGATTTCCTTAGGGACGAACTTGTACAAACTGTCCATATCCTGGTGGATGTGGATCCTGTTCCTGATCTTCTCCTTCAGGAACGGCTTCACCCAGTTGATGATGGTGTCGATGATGGGCAACGAGTTCACGATGTGCACTTCCTTGAGCTTGACCGGGTAGGCTTCTTGGACGCACACCAGGAATTTCTTAACGATGGTGGGGGTGATCTTGGAGAAGTGGTTGATGGAGGCCGCGCTGGCGTCGAGGATGTACACGTCGCCGGCCACCCCCACCTCCTCGGCGGCGAGCCGAATATCGCCGATCATGAGGGCGAGTTTCATGATGTCGGCGATGTTGGGGGTGTCGAAGTCTTTGACGGTGGTGCGCATGATGGTGACGCGCTTGCCGTCGGGGGTGAGACCGGGGAGAGGGGGGCCTTGTCTGCGGGAAGACGGGGTTAGGGGCGGACGGGAGATGGAGGGGTACTTACGTGATTTTGGAGACTTCCTGGAGCTCTGGGCGGGAGATGTCCCGGTTGGTGAAGAACTCGGGGATGGCGGCGCGCATTGTGAAGTACATGTCCAGCTTGCGTTTGCACTTTTCCAAGGAAAACTTGCAACCGCGGAGGAAGGTCATGATGCGGTCTTCATCTGGGGAGGAAAGGGTGGTTTGTATTGGGGGTGTTATTCAAAAGGTATCTTTGCTTAGAAACGTTGACATTCTATGGTGTATCACTGGAGTCATCGGAGATGATCCAGTGAAGACAAACTGAGAAGATCCAAAAAGAAGAACCTTACGTCAGGGGTTGAAGAAGAATCCATCAATGTAGATGAGTAAAAAGAAAAAAAAGTACTTGTGTAGTAAACGTGATCATCTTGTCGAGGTTCTCACGAAGATCTAGAATGTAGAATTCTGGTGTGAAGGTTCGGAAAAGTTCAAAACAACAAAGAATAGGGGATTAACAAGTAGTAAAAAGAAGAAAGGAAAGTGCTTTGTTCACAATTTTGCGGAAGGCAAAAATTTGACGACACGCTATGGTGTAAAACTGTAGTCATCGGGGAAGATCTATTGAAGAAGAACTAAGAAGGTTTAAAAGGGTTCTACGAAATTTGGATAGAAAGTGTTGGAAGGATCGTCATCACGGAAAAATTGGTCGAAGGGTATTTAGGCAGAACTTCCCTCGCTCCTGAAGTACAATCCAATGAATCCCGTTTGTTGGAAAAATGAAAATTTTTGGGAGTTCTGTTTTCTGATAACCTTCATAAAGCTTTTTTGACTTGGACATTTCAATTTTTCATTTTTGTTACTTTAATTTTTCGATTTTACAATTTTTCGAGTTTCCAAGTTTAAATTTTTCAGTTTTTAATTTTAAACTTTGGAATTTTTCAATTTTTAGATATGCAGTTTTTCATTTCGGTTTTTTCTTTTCTTTATTTTTACAATTTTTCGTTTCTTCAGTTTTTCGATGTGTGATTTTTCCGTCTTTCATTTTTCTTGTTTCTTCACTTTTTAGGTCTTGTAATTTTTCAATTGAAAGTTTCTCGAGTTTTCAATGTTTCGATTTTATAATTTTTTGTTTTTTCAATCGTAATTTTTCCAATTTTTCGTTTCTTTAGTTTTTCGATTCGCGATTTTTCGTTTTTCTTGTTTTTTCAATTTTTAGATTTTGGATTTAAAATTTCTCGAGCTTTTTTTTTAATTTTTTGAATCTTTAATTTTTCATTTCTTCAAATTTTCGATTTCCAATTTTTAAGTTTCGGTTTTTATTTTCTTTAGTTTTGCAATTTCTTGATTTTTCAATGTTGGGATTTTATAATTTTTTTATTTTTTCAATTTATTTTTTTTAATTTTTCGTTTCTTGAATCTTTCGATTGCAGTTTTCCAATTGTTCATTTTTTTGTTTCTTCAATTTTACAATACATTTCTTCGAGTTTTGGATGTTTCAATTTTTAGATTTTGCAATTTTTTGATTTAGAATTTCACAAATTTTCAGTTTTTAATTTTTCAGTTTTTGTTCAGTGTTATGGTGTTCTAATTTTTAATTTTTTTATGTGAGAATTTTCAATTTTTCGACTTGCGTTTTTCGAGTTTAAATTCAATTTTTTAACTTTTGAATTTTGCAATTTTTCGTTTCGGTTTAATATTACCTTTATTTTTTCAATTATTCTGTTTTTGTTTTTCAATGTCTAGATTTAAAAATTTTTTGTTTTTTCAAAAATTTTTTCAATTTTTCGTTTCTTCAGTTTTTCGATTTCTGATTTTTCAATTTTTCATTTTTTTGTTTCTTTAATTCCATGATTTATCTATACTTCGAGTTTCCAGTTTTACGATTTTCTAAATTTTGGATGTTTAATTTTCCAATTTCTAGATTTTTCAATCTTACATTTCTTCAATTTAGCGATTGGTAATTTTTTGTTTCGGCTTTTTATTGTCTTTAATTCTTCAATTTTTTTTGCTTTTCAATGTTCTGGTGTTCTAATTTTTAATTTTTTTTATGTAAGAATTTTTTGGATTTTTCAGTTTTTCGACGTGCATGTTTTCGAGCTCCGAAGTTTAAATTTTTTAGATTTTCAATTTTCCAACTTTTAAATTTTACAAGTTTTCGTTTCAGTTTTTTATTTTTGTCAATTTTCGATTTTTCCTTGTTTCGATTTTTTAATTTCTTGTTTTTTCAATTCAAATTTTTTCAATTTTTCGTTTCTTCAATTCTTCGATTGGCAGTTTTTCAATTTTTCAGTTCTTTGTTTCTTCAATTTTACGATATTTCTTCGAGTTTTCAGTTTTACGATTTTCCAAATTTTTGATGTTTCAGTTTTTAGATTTTTCCAATTTTCGATTTGGAATTTCACAAGTTTTCAGTTTTTAATTTTTCAATTTTCAGATTTTTCAATCTTTCATTTCTTCAATTTAGCGATTTGTAATTTTTTGTTTCGGTTTTTTATTTTCTTTTTTTTGTCAATTCTGTTTTTCAATGTTCTGGTGTTGTAATTTTTCTTTTTTTAATGTGAGCATTTTCAATTTCTGGAGTTTTCAATTTTTCGACTTGCATTTTTCGAGTTTCCAAGTTAAAATTTTTTAATTTCTGAATTTTGCAATTTTTCGTTTCCGTGTTTTATTTTCTTTATTTTTACAATTATTCTGTTTTTTAATGTTTGGATTTTATAATTTTTTGTTTTTTCCATAATTTTTTCAGTTTTTCGTTTCATCAGTTTTCAGATTTTGCAATTTTTCGATTTAAATTTTCTCAAGTTTTCAATTTTTAATTTTTCATTTCTTCAAATTTTTAATTAATTTTAAGGTTAGGTTTTTTTTATTTTCTTTAGTTTTACAATTTTTCTACATTTCATTGTTCCGATTTTATGATTTTTTGTTTTTTCAATTTCAATTTTTCGATTTGCATGTTTTCAATTTTTTTTTCTTTGTTTCTTCAATTTTAGGATATACCTCTTGGAGTTTTCAGTTTTTAGATTTTGCAATTTTTCGATTTGGAAATTCACGAATTTTCAATTTTTAATTTTTCAATTTTTCAATTTTTTCAGTTTATCGATTTGCATTTTTTTGTTTCGGCTTTTTATTTTTTCAATTTTTCTGTTTTTCAGTGATTTTATAATTTTTCTTTTTTTTTTAAATTGAAAATTTTAAATTTTTGGATTTTTCAGTTTTTCACTTTCCAATTTTTCAATTGTTCAACTTTTAGTTTTTTTTACTTTTCGTTTTTTCACTTTAGATTTTTTCCTTTTTTCAGTTTAGAGTTTTCGGTTTCTGAATTTTTCAATTTTTCGTTTCTTCAACTTTTGATTTGCAATTTTTCTAGTTTAAATTTTAAATGTGCATCTAATATATATAATTTTTACGGTTTTTCACTTTCTCACTCTTACAGTTTTAGAATTTTTTTAATTATTTGATTTTAGAACTTTCAATTTTTCAATTTAATTTTTTTAATTTCTATATATTTATTTTTTCAGTTTTTCGATCTTTCAATTTCTCGATTAGTCATTGTTTTCGATTTTTTACTTTTTCGATTTTTCAACTTTTCAAACCAAAAAAAAATTGAAAAATTCCAAAATTGCAAAATTTAAAATTTTAAAAATTGGAAAATCGAGGAACTGAAAAATCAGAGATTGAAAATTTAAAAAATCGAAAAAAATATTGACATAATAGAGGAAATAAAAAAAAAACGAAAAATTGTGATCTAAAATCGGTCAAATGAAAACGAAAAAATTGAGAAAATGAAAAATAGAAATCAGAACTTGAAAAATTGATAAATCTAAAAATGAAAAATCGTAATATTGAAAAATTGCAAAAATTGAAAAATTTGGAAGTCGAGAAATTGAAAAATTAAGGAAAAATTAAAGTTGCAAAACGAGAAATTATGAAAAAATTGAAAAATGAAAGAAAATGAAAAAAACGAAAAGTTGTGATATTAAAAAATTGTATAATCGAAGGAAAAGGAAAAACTAATAAATGTGATACCAAGAAATTGGTCAGTTTAATCAATACAAACTGCCTCATTCATTAATTATTGTGAGTCACCCTGTATAAGTAATTCTAAAAACTGTGAGTGCATTGAAAAACCGCAAGTATAGAGTCATCATATTTTTCATAGAGAATTTATTTGGTAACCTTTTAAGATGACGTCATAAATTTTTTGGAAGGGGATAAAGAAATAATGACGATCGATCCATTGCAGAAGAATTGAGACGCATTTAAAGGGTTCCCCGAAATTTGGGTAGTAAGTGTTCAAAACGAAAGAGTGAATATAGGAATTCTCGAGGAAATTCTAGAAAATCTAATAACGTAAAATATAAAGTAAAAAGAACAAGAGAAGAAGTTGAAGTGAAGGTACGGAAAAGCAAAGAACAATGAAGAGGAAATGATTAACCAGTAAGAAGAACACGATAAGATAATTTTGAAGACGAAGATCGAAAAAATCTCGAAACATTCCATCGGTATAAACAGTCAGTTTATAAGTCTAAAAGTTTCTCAGGAAATTTGTTAAGAGTAGGCAGAAGATTTATTGTTCTTTGAACCTTTAACCTTAATTAAAACAATCGAAATGTTAATGACAAAAATATTCCAAGATGAAAACAAGCTGGAACAATTAGTAAAACAATGGAAAAGAGAAATTTTCAAGAAACTCATGAAAGGAAGGCAAGCATGGGCGGACTATGCAAATTATATCACTGATTCATAAATAAATCATCTTAAAGAAAGTATCAAAAATTTTGAAGAATGGAATAAATCTTCAGTGAAAATGAAGAGCGGTTCTGTATAGTTTTCTGTTGTAGTCTTGTTGGACTTTGTTTATTCTTTCATGACTTCTTCAAGCAAAAAATTATTAGTTGCGTTACTTTGATTAGTTTGTTGCGTGTCATCACTAGTTTTATTATTATTATTACAATAAAACGCTAAAGGTGAAAACTAACTGTCGGTAAAATTGGTGTCAATAGGAATATTTTGAGGTTAAAACCGTAATTAGCGTCTTCTTACAAGCAGGTTTTAAATATTACGCATTTTTTAAAAGTGCCGCTTGGTTTAAAAACGTTGCGCACTAACTGTGCCGCCCTTTAAAAAATCGGCACATACTACGACATTAACCTTGAACGCACCGCGCGCGACATTCAATTTCAAAAGACTGTCGCAGCATTTGTTTACGTTTTGCCATATTTGTTGAACATTTTGCAAGCAACGTAGGAAGTCAGTTACTTAACGTTACGTAATCCATTTCTTCAACAAATTAGACAGTGTCGAAACCGTACGTTGAATTTAACAATCCCAGCTTTCCTTAATAAACCCGATTGCTCAAGAAAATTAAACAATAATAAGCAATCATCGCCGATCTCCCAACCATTAAGCAACGCTTGCCTAATCGAACCCACAACAATTAATAATTCTCACCCCAAGTGTCGGGCAAATGGGGTTGCTTTTGCAGCCAGTCCTTAATCGCCTGGAGGTCGCTATCCCTTGTGTTGACATCCTCGTTGAGTTCTTTTCGGATGTGGATCTGGAGCTCGGGGCTGGGTTGGACTAGAAGAGACATGGTGTTCCTGCGCAAAAAATTGAGCAATCAACGTCTCGTCCAATCGATTACAAAAACGGAAAAACTGATACGTATTAATCCATAATGGATGTCCGTGGAGAGCTCATTACCGTAAATAATTTAGAGCCAGTCCACATCTGGACACGTCACGTTACAGTAAATTCCTTTACGCTTTTCCTGGCTTCAGGAAAAGTGCGACTTGTTGCACAAGGTAATTGTCGTTGCGTGTCGGACATGTGCTCTTCGGGATGTTGGATTTGCGTAATGCGCTTTTTTGGGGAAACCGAATCTTTGAGTTGGTAACGCTTTTAGAAAGTACATGGAATTCTCGTGTCGGACGGTGGAGTGACTCAGCTAATTGTCGATTGTGTACAGGTGGTCAGGAAATTAATTAGTTTGGGTTAAGCCAAGTGCTGTATGGAGAAACGGGTTTTATTAGTACGGTTTCAGGTCATCGAGAAACTTTTGTTTTTAGCCCGACTTGGTACAGTTTCACTGTTTTCATTCATGATTTATTGTGGAAGCAATAGCACGCTGGTTGGTGGAGATATTGATGGCAATTTAATGGAATAAAAGTGTATCTTCAAGCTGTCGTCCACATTTTCTCTTGAAAAGACTATAAACATTGACAATTTCTTTGGATGCCATCTGGCTTGCTACATTAAAATCCACAAATTATAATGATCATAGGTCACATTTATGTTATATTTTGAGTATTATTCCGCTATGCTGTCTCTATGTGACAATCACGTAACACAAAAATGTGGATTGCAACATTTTCTAGCTTTATGTACCAGTTAACTTGGTGTTGAAGTTGGCTTTTATCGCGTACATGTGAAGATCTTCACTCAAATCGAAGATGGAACACTCGGTATATAAAAATAATGCATATATATAAAAGTTTATAAAAAGTAGAATGTTGAAAATTTCTTTAAATAATTTTCTGTGTCATTGAGACGAAGGTAAGATAAATCAGAGTAAATTTTGAAAAAAGAAACTTCTAATCTCTGTGAAAAAGTAATTATTTTTAAACCTGGGTTTTACGTCTAACTATTTAACATTAAAGAAAATTTTATAATAACTGATATCTCAGTGTGTGTTGGAAATTAAAATTTACATAAACACATAAAAATAATGACAACATAACAAATACAATTACCATGTATAAGTGGTGTTTTTAATAAACGATTGGTTAATATTTTTCTCTAGAATGACGTCATCAATTTCTTTGATAGAATTTCGACTTGTGAGATTACCGGCAATTTGAAAGTTTGAGTTGAAAATGCAACGATTAAAGTAAATTTTTTTCAAAAATGCGTGGCTGCCTTTGATTGTGTTTTTACTGCTCTCTCGATATAATAGTTCCGACGTGTGATATTCTTAAAACATAGTACATCATGGTTTTTTTTATTGAACATTAAATTTTATAAAGAATTCTAAAATCACTCAAAAACGGTTTAAAAATTTTTTTTTTTCTAAAAATTGCAAAAATTGGAAAATGGTAGGACCTATCGAAGAAATGAGTCCGAATCGAAGTTCTGGAGGTTGAAATCTATAAGAAAATGTCGTTCAAATTTGAAAAATTGACGAAAATTGGCTGAAATTTTCTGGGAGAGACTATCGAAAAATTTTGATTTGAAAAAGTTGCTAAACAATTTCCAAAAAATTCTGGGATGTAGGGAATTTATACTAAAAAATTGCAATATTTCTGCTGGTAATTTTGGAAAAATGGTAGGACCTATTGAAACAATAAGACCAAATAGAATTACTGGAAGTCGAGATCTATTGGTTAAATTTCAAAAATTGAGGAATATTGGTCTAAATTTTTCGTTTCGGGTTTTTATTTTTACAATTTCTTATATTTTTTTTATTTTCTCAATTTTTCGATTTGCAGTTGTTCACTTTTTCATTTTTTTGTTTTTTCAATTTTACGAGTTTTAGTTTAAAATTTTTCAGTTTTACGATTTTACAACTTTTGGATTTCGATTTGCTAGTTTTCAGTTTTTCATTTTTCTTGTTTTTCCAGTTTTTCCTTCAAATTTCTCGAGTTTTCAATTTTTAATTTTTCAATTTAAAGATTATTTAATTTTTCATTTCTTCAAATTTTCGATTTGCAAATTTTTCGTTTCAGTTATTTTATTTTTAATTTTTTTAAATTGTTTCAATTTCAGTTTTTTATTTTTTGAATTTGCAGTGTTTTCAATTTCTGACTTTTTGTGTCTTCAATTCTACGATATGCATCTCTTCGAGTTTTCAGTTTTACGATTTTCCAAATTTTGCTACTTTCAATTTTCAGATTTTTCAATTTTCAATTTTTCATTTCTTCAATTTATCGATTTGCAATTTTTTGTTTTGGTTTTTATTTTCTTTATGTTTTCAATCGTTCTGTTTTTCAATGTTCCGATTTTCTAATTTTTTTTCGATCTGAAATTTTTCAATTTTTCGATTTTCACCAATTTTTAATTATTGGATTCTAAAATTCCCAAAAAATTCTGGAACAGACTTCGTGGCTAATTCCACAAACAGCGTCTTAGAGTACAAGATTTGATAATACTCGATTTGAAAATAAATATTTTTTTATTCCAAAAATTGCAATATTTCAGTGGACGATTTTGGAAAAATGGTAGAACCCATTGAAGAAATGAGTTCAAATAGAGCTTTTGGAAGTCGAAATCTAGAAGAAACTGGAAACTTCCTCGTGCTGATTCCAAAAAACATAGCGTGTTTATGCTTTCGGTGCATGATTTAACAGTAGCTACTCTGTTTGAAAATATACATTTTTTTTTAATTCAAAAATTCTAATATTTCAGTGGATGATTCTAGAAAAACGAGAGGAGCTATTGAAGAAATAAACCCGGAACTAACTTCTGGGGTCGGAATCTAGAAGAAAAAAATTTACGAAATTTTCTGTTGAGGTTATTGAAAAATTTTACTTTTGAAAAAGTTGACAAAAAATTCCAAATAATTCTGGGATATAAATTTTGTCGTGCTAATTTCAAAAACATAGCGTGTTTATGTTCCGAGTGCAAGATTTAAAAATATTCGGTTTGAATTTTTTTTTTTATCCAAAAACTGGAATATTTTAGTGGATGATTTTGGAAAAATTGCATGATCTATCGAAGAAATAAGTCCGGAATTGACTTTTGGAGGTCGAAATCTATAAGAAATATGTCTAGTTAAATTTCAAAAATTTACAAAATTAGCCGAAATTTTCAGGGAAAAATTTTGCTATTGAAAAAGTTGCCAAAAAATTTCCAAAAACAGACTCATTATACTCAGGGTGCAAGATTTGAAACTATTCGATTAAAAAATATTTTCTTTATTCCATAAATTGCAAGATTTCAGTGGACAATTTTGGAAAAAATGGTAGAATCTATTGAAGAAATGAGTCTAAACAAAACTTCTGGAGGTTGAAATCCATGGAAAAAAAAATTATGAAAATTGGAAGAAATTTTTTGGGAAACATTGCCAAAAAAATTCCAAAAAAATTTTTGGATATAGATTTCGTCGTTTTGATTCCAAAAAAACAGCATACTTATGCTCCCGATACAAGATTTAAAAATACTCGGTTTGATTTTTTTTAATTGAAAAATTGCCATTTTCATTAGGAGATTAAAAAAAAATGGCAGGAGTTATCGAAGAAATGAGCCGGAAACTAACACCTAGATTCTAAATCTACAACAAAATGCCTTTGGATAAATTTCGAAAATTGGCTGAAATTTTCATTTCAAAATTTTATTTTTTAAAAAGTCGCTAAAAATTCGCAAAAAATTCTGGGATATAGATTTCTTTGTACTGATTCCAAAAACATAGCGTGTTTATGCGCCTGATTCAAGATTTTTTCATTTAGGCCCGAAATTAACTTTTAGAGGTCTAAATCAATAAGAAAATGTCTTTGGTTAAATTTCAAAAATCGACGAAAATTGGCAGAAATTTTCAGGTTGTTGAAAAATTTTGCTTTTGAAAAAGTTGCTAAAAAATTCCCAAAAAATTGTAGGATATAGATTTTGTCGTGTTGTTTCCAAAACTATGGCGTATTTATGTTCCTGGTGCAAAGTTCTATTTATAATTATTTTTAATCCAAAAATTGCAATATTTCAGTGAGCGGTTCTGGAAAAACGGTAGGAGCTATCGAAAAAATGAGCCCGGATTGAACTTCTGAAAATCTAAATGTAAAAGAACATGTTTTTAGTTAGATTTCAAAAATTGTAAAACATTCTACGAAATTTTCATTTTGCTTTTGGAAAAGGCGCCAAAAATTCGCAAAAGTTCTGGAATATAGATTTCGTCGTGGTGATTCCAAAAAGCAGATTGCAAGATTTAAACAACAATCTCAGATAAATTTGTATTTCCGTGTTCTACAAACTACGAAACACGAAGGCAGCACGAAGTTAAACATTTGATAAAATAAAAAAAAAATCAAGTACATTCTGTCGATTTGAAATATTTTGATGATTTTAGTTTCTGTAGTAAAAAATGCGATTATGATAATTGTTCTTTACTTCAAATACAAATTAAACCAAAAAATCATTTGATTTTTTAACAATCAGTTGGTGATACTAAAATACAGTAGAACGTCCATGCAATGAACAACAATGTATAATATTTTTGATAAATTTCTGTGTTCCTTATTTTCGTTTTCTCTCTTATTTTACGATTAAATTGTTTATTTAAATTTGACCACTAATCGAAAAAAGCAAGAATTTTTGTTATTTGTTAATTCCACAACAAAGTTTAATGTTTATTTCTTACTACACTAAAATAAATACACTGATAAATTTTAATACTCTTTCCCTCAAAAGGGGTTTTATAAAAAAATGTGCAATTTTTTTAATTTATTAATTTTCTTTAAATAGGGTTCGAAAATTGTTTTTTTACTGATGACTTTTTATTCAATGTTGTTAGTGGCAGTACACATATTCTTTTGACATTACTTATCACTGGATAATTCGCTTAACGAACCGTAACTCGAACAATTTTTTAACTCGATTAACGCCTCGCCTAAAGAACTTGTCCAGTTTATGTGTGAATTATATAAATTAATACTATGTTTTTGTTATTTTTAGTGACACAGGTGATGTTTCAGAAAAAAAAAAGTGAGAGTAAGGGCAAAAAAAATAACTAACCCTACTGAAAAATGAGGAATAAATCAATGTTAGACGGTGAACTAAAAAACTAGTCACTTTTGAGTCGTTAAAAATATAAATTTATACTGTAAAAAAATGTTGCTTCAAAGTTGGCTAAAATTAATGTTTGAGTGAAATTTTACCTTTTAGAATTGATGTAGTTTTTACTAAAAATATTTCAATCGAAAGATAAATTGCATAACGGTTTGTATAAAAATTCTGAAACAATTAAATCGAAATTAAAAGTACAGTCCGTTCCGTGAACCTGAAAGTTAATTTCTCTTAAAAGTTTTTGCTTTAGAAAAAATTTCGCCAATTATCACACTCCAGTAACTCCACTTCCACGAACTCCAGCTTCCAAATTACAAAAACCGTCTAATTACCCCGTACCCAAATTACCCCCAAACACACATTTCCCGATCCCACACTTGCATAATTAACATCACCCCATTCTAACACTCCTCTTAAGGCCGCAATCAATATTAACCGCCCCATCAAACATTAATTCCCAACCCCTCCTAATAAGTCAATCATTCCGATGAATCACCGTTACGCCGCGACCCACTTCCCCATCTCGCCAGCGTGATCGCCCGATTCGCATCCATTGAGTTTTTGCCGCATCTGGGTCGAAGAAAGCGCGCCTACTACGATTACGCAACGCTTCGGCTACTCACCGGACAAATTCCACGAACAAACACTGAAATTTAGAGTGGTACACTGCAAGTCGAGACACACTGATTGTTGAAGTGTGCGTCCGAGTCGAAGACTACAGCGTGAAAGCCCGCCAGAAGCGGTCTTATAGCAAAAGTATGTTCCAGTGCTAAGCACGGAATGGGCCAATGGTCCGTTAGAGGCAGGCGACTTAACCAATGGGGGCGCGCGCCGGCGGTCACGTGACGCGCTTTTGTACTTTCTCCGGTGTATGTTTTATTAATGCCGGGTTAATGAGAGCTGTGTTGTTCGTCGGTGGTAGCGTGACGGCCTGTTTGAATTTTTATGTTTGGTTAGGATTTCGTTTTTTCGGTGCTTTTTCGGGCTGTCAAACAGACTGGAAAATGTTATGTGGGATGTGTTTCGGCGATTGCTTAATGTGACGGGGTTATTGTTTGGGTTAATTGGAATTGCGTAGAGTGCTTAGGTTGGAGTGTTTGTTTATGTCAACATGACGGTTTGGGGTTAAGTAAAGTTGACCGACTTAAGTACACGGTGATTCGTTTCTGGTACATTTCGTGCTTTTTGTTTCTAATTTCATGCAATTGTAGTTTTTTTTTGTCAACTGGAACTAGTATGACATGTCACAGTTTGATCGAAGCCAACTCCGAACAACATTTTTTTCAATCATATGCTACTCTTTCGAGTTTTAGTTGAAAGAGCAGTTTTTAAAATTAAAGTTTCTGGGTTGAAATTCTTTGATTTTTTCAATTCTAGTTTTTTGGCAACCCAACTGAAGAACATTCTGGGAAAAGAGGATTATCCTCAAGGTTTGTAGATGAAGATGAAGTCTAAGATTTTCGTAGAGAAAAATTAGGGGGTCTGGTTGAACCACCAGCAAAACCAAAGAAGAAGAGAGGAAAAGAAAAAGAGACCAACAGGAAAAAGCTAGTAGTACCCCTATTTCTTCACCGAAAATCCGAAGAAACCCAAACCATCAAAAAAGAGCACGAATCCGAAGAAACCACACAAGATATAAAAGAGAAAATCACGTCAATAATAACTCAAACAAGAGAACGCATTGGTCAAAACCCTCCAATCGAACCAAACGTGCCCAACCAAATGATCAAAGAACGCATCAACCAAATCTTGACAGAAATCCAAAACCTGATCAACCTAGATTTTGAAAAGTACTCAATCATTCACAGCGACTTGTGCAAACTCCAAGGTTTCAAAGACCTTCTAACAACCGAATGGAAAAAAATCTCACTAGAAGACCAATCCAACGCCATTCCAAGCCAAATTCGCCTTCTAGATGACTTCAAAGAGATGCAGATTTTGCGCGACAAGTCCGTCGAAGACATAACTTCTGTGTTATCCACAGGTTCGACTTTTATGACCAAGAAATTGATCAAAATGTTAGTGAGGTTACAGAAACTTCAGTGCATCATTTACAGAGTGGTTGAAGATTTTGGTGAGAGGATCAAGATGGGTAATGATTTTGATCTTTGGAAAGAAATCAAAAATTACCTATGGAGGTTGAACTTCGTGGTGCGTTTAACCAAGCACGATTTGAAAAATTGGGAAAAATGAGAAGAGGATTTTGGAAAATTTTAGGAAATTGTTGGAAGAATCACATGATTCGTTGAAGGTGTATGAGCAAGCGGAGATTCTGTGGTAGTTTAAGAATGTTGATGAGATGTAAAAAGACAGATTTGATGCGCCAGATTGAAAATTGTGAAGAGAAGCAGAAGAAGCTTTTGGAGGAAATTTTTCCAAGACAACACCATGCGAAATAGCTTAAATGATGAAAAAAGTGGAAATTCAAGGACCAGAAGAACTTACGGTAGTTGTTAGACATACCAAGATGCCTCAAAATTGTAACTACCAGAAAACATAGCAAATTTGAAAACAAACGGTCCAGTAGTTTCGGAGACTATCAGTCCAATAAAAATCGGAACAGAGGGCAGACAGACAGACAGACAGACAGAAACGGGAGACCGATTTCTTCGTACTCTAGGGGTCATGAAAGGTCGAGAAAACGTAAAAGAAGAGAGTCAGCAGACGGACTTAATTACAACGCTTTCAAAAAAGATTATTATTATTATTATTAAAAATAGTTAAAAAATGAAAAATCGGACTATATTGAAAATTCGAAGTATTTCAAAACCGAAAAATTGAAATATTAGAAATTGAAAAACAAAGTCATTAAAAACTGACAACAGGGAAATCGAAATATTGTAACAATATAAAACTGAAAAATTAAAAAATTTCAAAATTACAAAACTAAAAAATTGTATAATCTTAAAATTGAAAAATCGTTAAATATCAGACAATTGTAAAATATAAAAATTATAAAATAGAAAAATCAAACAATTGCAAAAGTTCAAAGTAAAAATCATTAGAAATCAAAAAATTGAAAATTCGAAAAAATGAAATTCCAATAATTGAAAAATCAAAAATTGAATAATTAAAAAATTCAAAAATTGATAACTCGGATACCTGTATAAAATGATTACACTAAAAAACCGAAAATTTGAAAAATCAAAACTGAGATTTTGAACAATCAAAAATAATAATTGTAAAATCGAAAAATCATTAAATGGTAAAAATAAAGAATTGCGAAACTAAACAATTGTATAATCTTAAAATTGAAAAGTTGTTAAATATTAGACAATTGTAAAATATAAAATCATGAAATAGAAAAATTGCAAAAGTTTAAAAGCGAAAATCGTAATTTTGCAATATTAAAAATCAACAAACTGGAAATTCGAAACAATGAAATTTCGAAAATTGAAAAATCAAAAATTGAATAATTGAAAAACATTCAAAATTTAATAAATCGGGTACCTTTACAAAAGAAAAATTGTAAAATAATTAAACCGAAAAATCAAAAATTTGAAAAATTGAAGCTGAAATTTTGAATAATTAAAAATCAAAAAATTAAAAATACATATGTGAAATTACCAAATTGAAAAGTTGGTTCACTATAAACTAGAAGATTTATTATTAAACTGTAAGTACGAAAAATTGAAAAATCGAGAAATTAGATAGAATTAGGAAATCTGATAACTAAAATATTTAAAACTGAAAAACTAATTCATTATAAACTGAGAGAAAAATCGAAAAATTGTCAAAATATAAAGCCGAAAAATTAAAAAAATTTCAAAATTACGAAAAATTGAAAAATGCAAAACTTGGTAAATTGTAAAATGAAAGTTTGAAATAAGTACAAAAAATCAAAAAATTTGAAAATCGAAGAATGAAATTCGGATAATTGAAAAGACAAGAACTGAAAAATCGGATACTTTTAGAAAGTAATGATACTAAAATCCGAAAATTTTGAAAAATTTAAACTGAATTTTGAATAATAAATAATTATTATAAAATCGAAAAATCATTAAATGGTAAAAATGAAGAATTGCAAATTTGTAAAATTGAAAAATCGAATATGTAGGTAATACTAAAATTGTTAAATCGCAGTCATAAAATTGAAATATTATTAAGTTGAAAAATCAGGAAATTGAAAAGCTGATATCTGTTAAAATCAAAAATAGAAAATCGAAAAATTTTGGGAAAGAAAAAATTCTAAAATTCAAATATCGAACAATTAAAAAATGATAAATCGTAAAAATAAACAATCGAAAAATTATTGGAAAATTTGATTTATGAAAAATTGATTCATTAAAAACCCGGTAATTGAAGCTAATTTTAAATTTGAAAAATTGTTAAATATCAGACAAATAAAATACAAGTAAAATATAAAAATCATAAAATTGAAAAAAAAATCGAAAACTTGGAAAAATGAAAATCGAAATTTTGAAACTTTAACAAAAATCAAAAAATTAGAAAATCGAAATAGTGAAATTCGGATATTTGGAAAGCCAAAAATTCAAAAATCGGATATCTTTAAAAAACAATTAAACTGAAAAATTGAAAACTTGAAAAATTAAAATTGAAATTTCGAACAATTAAAAATAAAAAAAAATAAAATTTGTAAAACTACAAAATTGAAAAATTGGATAATAAAATTGTAAAACTGAAAAACTTTACATGAAAACAATGAAAACTTACAAAATTATAAAATTGAAAAATCTAATAATATTAAAACTGACAAATTGCAAAATCGTAAAACTGAAACATTTCAATTGACAAATCTGATAATTGTAAAATCCAAACACAAAAATCTAAAAATTTTGGAATCGAAAAAATTCTAAAATTTATAATATCAAACTAGTGAAAACTGAAAAATCGAAAAATAAAAAGTCGAGAAATTGGAAAATCTGATATCTGAAAAATTGATTCATTAAAAACCGAGTAATTGAGAAATCGAAAAACCGTAAAAATACAAAACTGAAAAATAAAAAAAATTAAAAATTATCACCAAAACTGAAATATTGTACCTAATTTTAAAATTGAAAAATTGTTAAATGTCAGACAAATAAAATACAAGTAAAATATAAAAATTATAAATTTGAAAAAAAATCGAAAAGCAAAATTATGAAAAATGAAAACTTAGAAAAATGAAAATCGAAATTCTGAAACCTTAAAAATCAAAAAATTAGAAAACAATTAAATTGAAAAATCGAAAACTTGAAAAATTAAAATTGAAATTTCGAAAAAAAAAATAAAATTTGTAAATTTACAAAATTGAAAAATTGGATAATTGTAAAACTGAAATATTTAAGTTGAAAAATCAAGAAATTGAAAAATCTGGTAATTGTAAAATCCAAAATAGAGAAATCTAAAAATTTTGGAATCGAAAAAATTCTAAAATTTTAAATATCAAACTGGTGAAAAATTCGTTAATTGTAAACTAGAAAAAATTTATGAGAATGAAAATTTGCAAGATTTATTAAATTGGAATATCAAATAGTTAAAAAATGAAAAATCGAACGACATTGAAAATTCGAAGTACATATCGTTAAATATCAGACAATTGTAAAATATAAAAATTATAAAATAGAAAAATCGAAAAATTGCAAAAGTTCAAAGTGAAAATCTTTAAAAATCAAAAAATCGAAAAAATGAAATTCCAATAATTGAAAAATCAAAAATTGAATAATTAAAAAATTCAAAAATTGATAAATCGGATACCTTTAGAAAATGATTACACTAAAAAACCGAAAATTT